TGCAACATTCCAGGAAATTATACCGTTGACGATGTTCATCAGTCAGGTATAGAAGATGAGAGAGGCAAGAGGAGAGGAGGAAAGAAGAAGAGAACTCGGAAGACTTGGAGGAGCTGAGAATGAGAGACTAGAATTCAAGTACGGTCCCTGCTAAATGTACTATTGAGACTTGTCTTGAAGTTTCCCATGATTACTCTGATACCTCTGTCATTTAGATGAGGTTGATCTGGGACAAACAGATAGTCGTGTGGGATATCCGATCCCCCCGGGTAGAAATTGTTGTTTCTGTTTTCTCTTGATCTCATCCAGAAATCAGCCTTTTCACTGTCATCTTTAAGATTTCTGATTGCCTCTGTGATGAGTCGACTATTTTTACCCCATTCCTCTCCAGGATGGTCGCGCAGAAAGGGGTGAGAGATGAATATTTGGCAGTGTTGTGAGGTCTGTCTAAGGATCTTTTCAGTAGACTTGATTAATGATCCCACCACAATATCAGCCTTGTTGCCTTCCAGGATGTCCCGAGTACCAAGGTGAATGTACACTGCATCTGGATTGAGGTTTGAAATCTCTTCTACTGTTCGTTCGAGGCACGAGTCAAGTTCTTTCAAACTTGGCCTGTATATTACAGAGACATTGTACCTCTTTGGAAACTCGTCAGGTTTAAAGCTTCGCATGGTCGAGTCACAGAGGAGAACAATTTTCTGTTGGCGCTGTACTGGGTTACTCGCTCTTTTGGATCTCCCTGTGCTGCGAGGAGTTGTTGCACTTTCTTTTGTGATTATCTTGCCTTTTTGTCTGGGTTCTAGGTCTTCTCTCCTGTAGGAAGACCGTCCCTGATTAGGTGACAGCCCGGGGATGTCACTGTTAGTCCGTGTGTCAGCTGGTGACCTGGGGATATGTCTCACATAGCTTTGGCTAACATTTGGAGCTGGGTCTGCCTGGTTGTTTCTGAAATTTGAGGCAGAGATGATTTCATGGATTTCATTGATTTTTTCATTTTCTTCCCTTTTGAAGACACTCTGACTCCAAACTTCCAGATCTTTCTTTACAGACATAGTATCTTTGAGGGTTTGTGTGAGCCCTTTCAGACCTATTTCAGATTTCTCCAGGAGCATGCTGGTGTCTTGGGTAGCTTTTGACAGATTTTTCAGTAGATCTGCGCCACTTGAGCATTTTGTTGCTACCTGGCAGCTCCCGGTTGATTTGGTTGCAGGGGTCATCTCAGTTATCGTGAGTTTTAGCTCTTTAATCTCGGTTTTTATTTCGGTAAGAATAGAGCTGATTGACACATTAGACCTTTCCATCACTTCCAGTCTATTCTGCACATCACTGAGTTGCTCAGATGTAGCAGCGGAGAGATTATTAGGGTTCTTCAGGTGTTGAGTGATTCTCTTTTTCCTGATTTTTGAGCTTCCTTCACTACTCAGTTTGAGGAATCCGAGTTCCTTTGTGAGTTCGTTTTCTGTAACTGATTCGAGTGATTTGATGTAAGTTTCAAGTCCTTGAAAACTTAGTCCAGAGGTGGTGTCAGGTGGTCCTCTTTTCCTCTTAGTTTTGGATTTCTGCTGGGTAGAGGAGTTTTTGTCCAGCTGCGATCTTAGGAAGTCCTTAGCGTTGGGCAGTGAGCTAGTAAAACAGAATTCGTTAGGAGACACAGCGTTGTTTGGAACTGGGGCAGTTTCGGAGAGTGGTGGTTCAGGGGAGTAAGAGAAGAGATCTCCACTTGTGTCCCGTGACTGTTCGGTGTCCCTAGTTAGGTATCTACCTAGTCTCTGTCTTAATAGAGCTACAGCACCATTGTTTTCCTGGTTGCATGCAGCCAGCTCCTCCTTCGCGTCTTTCAGTTTCATCTTAGTTAATATCACACTTACAGCAGCATAGCTGGGGGGTGAGTAAGGGTCTGCTAAGAGAGTTTCTGTTCTAGTTTTCATATCATTCAGAGAGTCGCTACTAGATGTGGGTTGATCCATGGCATCCAGTATCAGAGTAAAGTCAGCTAGGGTAAGCTTATCCAATATTTGTTGGTATATATGTACTTGGCCCATTCTGAAGCTTAGAGTATTACAGAATCTGGATGCTCTGATGCTCTCATTGGGAATGTCTTCACTGTCCCATGACAACGTGCCGTTAGGGTCTATTTTTGAGCGAAAGAAGACAAGTCTGAAAGAAGTTCTTGCATCGGTTCTTTTAGAGTTATCAAGTCCAACCCCTGACCGGACCTGGTGACGTTTGAGTGCATCTTTCGACAAGAATACCGCTGCCCCATGATCCGGAGAAAGCCTCCCTGCTTCAACTTTATCAAGCAAAGTTCCGGAGTGTGCCTTGGGTATGACATCAATAGCATTCTGTTCACCCAGACAGAGGATTGCCAGTGCGGAGTTTTCCTCTGCATATGAATCGAGCTCGGGGGGAAAGACTGTTGACTCTGGTGTGTGTTCATTCATTTTGATCTTTTCGACCAGACAGCTGTTGAGAGAGGGGTTCTCATCGATGCGATGATCGCTTATGATTTGGTTCATGCACTGAAGTAAGATAGGTACTTCTTTGAATTCCTTGGCATCATATGTGTCCCATGATTTGTTCGGGTAGTAGCGAGAGCTGAATAGACAGAACTCACGCTGGTGAATTCCATATTTCCTGAAGGATACTGTACTGTCTGTCGACCAGTAAAGGATGTTCGCAGGCTGAGTTGGGAAGAGAGCTTTGCAGTGGAATATGTCTCGAGGGGGCTCAGCAGAATGATTTCCTGAGCTGACCGAGGTGTATCCTGGAGATGATGAGAGGTTTCTCAGTCTGATGATAGGGTCGTTTAGCCCTGTTATGATTGGTAGCGTATTTAACCGTCTTACAGTTGTTATTTCATCACAAAAGCTGAGATTATCCTCCGTTGGTGTTAATCTGCAGCGTAGGTCCTCTTCAGACTCTTCAGGTCCAAAGTTGAGTTCTAGCTTTCCGGAGCAAGCCAAGGTACTCGTGAGAGAGTTCTTATCTTGACTCTGGATTTGGTTTGAAGTGTAGCCATCATGTTCACTGTTATTGTTAGTAGGATGATTGGAGCTTTCGGGCTCCGTTTCCTCATCCTTGTTATCCTGATCGGGTGAGAGGCTGGTATCTTTAAAGGATTCTCTACCAGATTTTTTAGGGTCATCGTCGTCATCATCACTGTCCCCTTTGTCCTGGGGGCCGCTTGACGAAGAGTCCTGTCCTACACTGTTGGGAGAGTTTCCACTTCCGTTTTCACCTTCCTGACTTGAAGGTTCCCTAGAATCATCTTTGTTAGTTGGTGTTGAGGCGCAGGAGCCCTTTCCATCTGCATGAGATTTACCATCTGGTACCAGGAAGCATACTGTGCTAGCAATTGATTTCCGAAGAGGAAAACTAGTGTTAGAACAGGGAGAAGAGAGGACAAACGGAGATGGTACGCTGGCACTGTACACAGGCTTACAGACATTGGTTTTTAACTGCTTTGCGCGAGCGTGATGCTCACTTGAGCTGTCAAGGTCAGATTGTTCGTGACGGTTGTTAGTTATGCGGTATTGATCTGACTTGACCTGTCGGCGGTGATCGAAAATCGCAATCCAAAGTTGGCGCGGGTGTGCACTAGACTTTACCAGCTGGCACTTAAGAGATGTTTCTAAAAGTGTTGTGAGAAGATGACGATAAATGGTAACTAGATCGGTGTTAAGACACGTGATGTGGAGAAAGTATGAGTTGTTTGGATCGTGGAGCATGTCATACTGATCAAGAAAAATGTTGTCCAAGTAAAATAGTGAGTAATCTACAAAGATCGGCACCAGGTGACTTAACAAAAGAGGACGAAATCTTAAAAACACTAACATCATAAAACTTAATCTCTCGTCACACAAAAGTTTCAGATTGTTGAGGTGGCCTGATTGTCTTAGCATCGATAGATAGTTCAATAACATACGTTTGGTAGCTGAGAATGTCCACTTGAGCGAAGAATGTCCTAGCAGTAAAACTATGTAGGCCAACAAGCACATGGGTGCTGACACGAGGAGTGCAAGACACACAAAGTCCAGAAAGTGGGGACATGCAGTAAAATGTTCAACATGCAGCGTGGTCTCAAAATGTACTGTTACGTTGTAGCTATACATAGATAAGGGGTCCGATAAGCATTCACTGATTGTAGTTTGCATTAGTTGTTTCGGATTAGTTGTTTCGATTGAGTTGTTGTTGAGCCTGGTAGTAGGAGACAAAATTGGGCCCTGACTGGCCACCATGGCCACCAGGGCAACCGTTGTAAATAGTTGATGAGCCAGTCTTATCACGAGTAGAAATACGAGATAAGAGAGCTAAGCAAATGTAAACGTATTCGAGAAATATTTTACGAATGCTGTATTCCCTGTATTACAGTCCGCCCTGAAGAATGCATATATCCCTGAACAATCGCATATTATCCTCGATAACTCACTTTGTGAGTTTGTGCTAGGGTAAAGATAGGTAACTTTTAATTCTTCGTAGCTTTGCATCCATCGTTATGATCGTACGTTTTTTTATTGAATAAAGTTTACTTTTATTATAATAGGAGCCTGGAGGGATTTCAATATATTGACTGTCGTATCTGATCAAGCAGTTGTTTAATTGGTTTTGACTTTTGACAGAGGTGTAGGAAGGGGGAGGGACAGGGGGGGGGGGGCCATCACCCTCCATAAAATCTGGGCAAGGGGCCAAAAAGGGCCAACTTTTTTATTTAGGTTTCTACAAATTTTTGGGACAAAATTGTCAAATATTTTTTCAGTTTTTCTGAAAACCGCTTTTCTCCACGTTTCATGCTACTCTGTTCATTAAAATAAGCGCACGTGAAAGTCTGATTCAAATTCCTCCAGGCTTTGATCAGTAATTCTTATTTGTTTTAACTTCAATCAAGAGCACTATACTGATACAGAGTACTATACCATCGACTCTGCACTGCCCACTAACTAGTAATCTGACACAAGTAGCTTATAAAACAGTGCGTGTGTTCATCTGTCGTATCAAATCAAATTATTTGTCACTATGTTAATAAATCACGATATGCAAGTTTTAATTTTTAAAGTTTTAATTTTTTTAATGAATAGACGTAAAAGGTTACATCATAATTTTCAATTTTCATATTCACGTATATTAAATAAAATTATATTGTTATGTATCATATGATTTTGTAAACATTGGCCGGTGTACCAAAAACCGGTCCCCAAACAAACAAGTAACCTGTATGATGATGATGAAAATCTAAAATATATGGCTACAATGAGCATTTTAATAACAATATTAATTCAATCCTATAATGTGCCATGTAATAATATTAAAACAGTTGTATGCATCTACTTAACAAACTTCTTATCGGTCATGTAATCCAGAAAATGTATTGCTGTTAATAGATAAGCAGCGTTATCACTCAGAAATCAACCCAGTTATATAATAACAAATTTGAAAAACGGGGGACCAAAATTTTAATTGTCGAAATAATCATAATCTGATGAGTCAGTTGTGACTGGTGACACGTATCTTAATTCTTAGTGGTGGTCGTCGATTACACGCTATATGATGCGATAAAAGTTTTCTGGGTTTCTTTTCCTTTTTCTTAGTTACTCCTGCACTGCTACTTTTGATTGCTGAACTTGTCGAGACAGTGTTCTTATCCTCTACTGATTTTACTTGACTGCAAACTGCACTGTTCCTGATAAAATGATGTTCGTTTGGCGTTTCTCGAGCTTTCTCTCTCAATTCTGCTACCAGTTTTCGATGTTCTACTCTCTGCTCCAGGGTTCGATCAGGTGTCAGTACTCAGTAACCTGTAAATCATTCTAATAATTTGTTATTATCGTGAAGACTGGCTTAATCAAAATACCAGTCAAGACCATTCAAAACTGATCACTTGGAATGCTCGAAATAGGACGGATATAAAACTGCGTACAATAAAAGAATAAAACCGCGTACAGTACCACAAATGTGACATAAAATTGCTCACTTTTTCTCCCGCTCCTCCTCGCTCTCTCCCCATTACTGTAGCGTTGGTACATAAATCTAATTAGGTTATTTGGTAATGTATCAGCCGCGATATTTCCTGTTATGTGCTCAGTGCTGCTATAAGCTTATTAGGGGGAACTCGGAATGAAATTGCGGTCTTTTTGGACTGATAGAGTTCATACTTTTGCACCAATTTACGTTAGCTGTAGGCACGGGTCGGGTTACATACATGCTACATACATACATACATACATACATGCTACATGAAGAGGTCTCCTCCTAGTCGTTGGAGTGACCTGCATCACACACATCTCTTCTACGGTGTATCATGTGCCTCCATTCCACTCGTTTTAGAGCTAACTGTTTTACTGCATCTCTGCTGGCAAAATTTCTTGACAGTGAAAAATGCTATTTTTTCACGCGACGCCATTTTGGCATCTTGCAAAGTTTTTAATTACGGTTTTTTGCATGAAATCGGGCTAGCGTTTTACAATAAGGAAAGCTTATTTTCAAAGAAATTTAAGAAAGTCGATTTTAGGCCTATGCTAGCATGGTAGCCCACTGTGAGGGGGGGGGGGGGGCCATCACCCCCCATAAAATCTGGGCAAGGGGCCAAAAAGGGCCAACTTTTTTATTTAGGTTTCTACAAATTTTTGGGACAAAATTGTCAAATATTTTTTCAGTTTTTCTGAAAACCGCTTTTCTCCACGTTTCATGCTACTCTGTTCATTATTAGCCGAAAATATTTTTTCGGTTTTTCAATGTCCGCACCCACCCCTCGATACACAATTTTGGACTCGAGGCTTCCCCTGGTAATCTGATCTCGGAAGGCAGGCCTCCCCTTTGCAACACGAGCTCGGAAACGGGAGCTCTCGATACGAGAGGTACGTATCGAGAATGACTTGGACCTAAAATTTTCTAAGTTCAAATTTTTTCAGTTTTTCTGAAAACCACTTTTCTCCACGTTTCATGCTACTCTGTTCATTAAAATAAGCGCACGTGAAAGTCTGATTCAAATTCCTCCAGGCTTTGATCAGTAATTCTTATTTGTTTTAACTTCAATCAAGAGCACTATACTGATACAGAGTACTATACCATCGACTCTGCACTGCCCACTAACTAGTAATCTGACACAAGTAGCTTATAAAACAGTGCGTGTGTTCATCTGTCGTATCAAATCAAATTATTTGTCACTATGTTGATAAATCACGATATGCAAGTTTTAATTTTTAAAGTTTTAATTTTTTTAATGAATAGACGTAAAAGGTTACATCATAATTTTCAATTTTCATATTCACGTATATTAAATAAAATTATATTGTTATGTATCATATGATTTTGTAAACATTGGCCGGTGTACCAAAAACCGGTCCCCAAACAAACAAGTAACCTGTATGATGATGATGAAAATCTAAAATATATGGCTACAATGAGCATTTTAATAACAATATTAATTCAATCCTATAATGTGCCATGTAATAATATTAAAACCGTTGTATGCATCTACTTAACAAACTTCTTATCGGTCATGTAATCCAGAAAATGTATTGCTGTTAATAGATAAGCAGCGTTATCACTCAGAAATCAACCCAGTTATATAATAACAAATTTGAAAAACGGGGGACCAAAATTTTAATTGTCGAAATAATCATAATCTGATGAGTCAGTTGTGACTGGTGACACGTATCTTAATTCTTAGTGGTGGTCGTCGATTACACGCTATATGATGCGATAAAAGTTTTCTGGGTTTCTTTTCCTTTTTCTTAGTTACTCCTGCACTGCTACTTTTGATTGCTGAACTTGTCGAGACAGTGTTCTTATCCTCTACTGATTTTACTTGACTGCAAACTGCACTGTTCCTGATAAAATGATGTTCGTTTGGCGTTTCTCGAGCTTTCTCTCTCAATTCTGCTACCAGTTTTCGATGTTCTACTCTCTGCTCCAGGGTTCGATCAGGTGTCAGTAGTTACTCAGTAACCTGTAAATCATTCTAATAATTTGTTATTATCGTGAAGACTGGCTTAATCAAAATACCAGTCAAGACCATTCAAAACTGATCACTTGGAATGCTCGAAATAGGACGGATATAAAACTGCGTACAATAAAAGAATAAAACCGCGTACAGTACCACAAATGTGACATAAAATTGCTCACTTTTTCTCCCGCTCCTCCTCGCTCTCTCCCCATTACTGTAGCGTTGGTACATAAATCTAATTAGGTTATTTGGTAATGTATCAGCCGCGATATTTCCTGTTATGTGCTCAGTGCTGCTATAAGCTTATTAGGGGGAACTCGGAATGAAATTGCGGTCTTTTTGGACTGATAGAGTTCATACTTTTGCACCAATTTACGTTAGCTGTAGGCACGGGTCGGGTTACATACATGCTACATACATACATACATACATGCTACATGAAGAGGTCTCCTCCTAGTCGTTGGAGTGACCTGCATCACACACATCTCTTCTACGGTGTATCATGTGCCTCCATTCCACTCGTTTTAGAGCTAACTGTTTTACTGCATCTCTGCTGATGTTATCACACCTGTAAAGTCAGCCGCATCCTGAAGTACACAGGCCATCTAGCCTTTGCGGGGTCGTCCTCTCAGTCTCTTTCCATAGTTTGGTTTCCAATCCAGTAAAAAATTGGGAAACTGTGTCTCTGGCATTCTGACAACGTGTCCGTACCACCTTAGTCTAGCCGAACCGATGAAAGTTTCAATAGACTTAATTCCAGCACGCCTGAGAACTTCTTCATTGGAGACATGGAAGAACAACTTTATCTTCAAGATTCTTCTCAGGTAGGTCAGATGGAAGACCTCGAACCGTTTCATCTGCTTCTTTGTTGTGTTCCACACTTCAGCTCCATATAACAGAATAGTAATAACAGCAGCCTTGTAGATACGGATCTTAGTGTGCGTTCTTATAGTTCTACTGTTCCATATCTTCCAAAGCTGATGGAACGCACCATTAGCACGCTGGATCCTAATGTCAAGATCTCGGTCAATGGTACCATCCCCACTGATGTTGGCACCAAGATAAACAAAGTTACTTGCCTGTTCAACAGGTTTTCCCTCCACTGTTAGCTTTATACTGTCTCTTTCGGTGTAAGGTCGCTGGGACGCACACTTGCTGATCGCCATGCATTGTGTCTTTTTAGCGTTGATCTTTAACCCAGCATAAGAGGTGTAATAAGCGATAAGATCAGTGGACTCCTGCAGCCCTTCTTCAGTATTGTCCAGTAAGATGGTTTTGTACCACAAATGTTACATAAAATGGCTTGACCAGATGAATCAAGAAAACGGTAAGAGTTACGGGGCTCGCTCTCTTTCTCATTACTGCATAATATTATGTAGCGTTGGTATATATTACACGGTCATGTAATACTTTAAACTTATTAAGTTATTAGGGAAGGAATCGCTCATAGCGGTCTGTTTGAGCTGTAGAGAGAGTTCATACTTGCATACGACAATGTAATACATGTTTTCAAATATGCGGGTGTGGTGCGGAGTTAATAAGGGTTAATTTCTATTGATTATTGTTTAAGGTACTATTTTTTAAGGATACTATTGGATACTTGAGGGCACTCCGATTAGAATTGCTCGCCTAATCCGAATTTTGACTCAGCAAGTAATTAATCCTACCCTTTTTAACTGCGGCAGTGAAATCCCGGCCGAAGGCCGGGTTACACTAGTAATTATATAATATCATGAGCGACCCTTGCCTTGGATTTTTAGTGCTATTTTCTGATAAAGCCTTAAATTCTATTTGTATCTTTTTTGATAACTGTTGATTGCCTAGTAATGTATTCCATGCCATAAACTTATTATTTTTTATTTTTGTAGTGGTTGTACAGCAATACTAAGGCAATGGGACTACTGCGGACCCTCCACCGGCCAAACCTTGTTAACAAAGCTGCAGTCAAGGTTTGGTAAACGGTAGTTAAAAGGGACATATGTCAAAGAGCAACATCATGTAGTGGACATCTTGAGAAATTTTCTTTTTTTTTGGAAAACGAAATTAGATATATACAGAATAGTATTACCCGATAACACTCGACCTCTTACTGATCCAGAGGATGTCACCATTTACCTTCACACAGACATCAAACGCTGTATTAGAAGATGACGATCAGACCTCATTATTTTTTATTTTGTTTAATTTTAATATTTATATTTTTAAATATGCAACCAAAACCAATGGTGCCTTCTCCGGGATCTTTCTTCTCGCATTTGCGAGAGTCGTCTCCCATGGTGTAAAAGGAGGTCAAGATTTGTTCACACCAAGCTCCAACATCGCTATTTGTTGACAATCGGCCTTCACTAAAGGTAAGTTTTGAGTGGAGGCCGACAGTCAGCTTGGGATGCAGGGCCAAGTAGGAAACAACGTCCAGGCCCCCTCCTACATGGGCCATGTTGGTTTTGACAGATAATGTAGTAATAAAATATGAAAACTGCTAACTTAGTATACTACAAGATAGTAACAATATCCATTAAGGGGCCGGGGGGGGGGGGGGTCTTCATCAAAATTCTCTCGAAATTGACTTTATAGCTGTTTCTGATAGTGGGGAGTGATATCTACCAGCTGCTTTTGGTCCCATGCAAAAATATTTTTGATGAAGACCCCCCCGGCCCCCTTAAGTAATAAAATATCATTGACAGCAATAATAAAGTAGACATTATTATATTATTTTTATTTAAAACGTAACAATCAGTACGTTTCCAGTGAGACAACATGGCTCTACACGGACCTGTTGACCCTACTCTCTGGATCACTCGTAGGTTAGGTTACTGGGAGAATCAGCTGTTTGGAAACCTGGATCACACCTCGAACTGTAATATTGTAATGAACACGTGCATCTAGTCGGATCACATTGACCCTGCTAAGCTTGAGGAAGCAGTCAGGGCTCTCATTTACAATCAGCCTAACTTTAGAGCAGATGTGAGGAGGGGAGAAGATGGAGTGATATGCTTCACTCCTGCCACTGATTTCTCTGATGTGTTTGAGTTCATTGACCAAAGTGGAGATACGGGAGGGATTACAGGTTACACCGGCTGCTGGGAGCTCTCAGAGAAGTTAGTCAACACACCCTTCTCCTGTGGATCTGGGGCTCAACTCCACAAAACCTACCTTGTAAAGAGACCTGACTGCTATATGCTGCTTAACCGATACCACCACGGCATTGGTGACGGGACCACAGGGTTCCGCATAATCAACGAGATACTGAGGCAATATGATCTGTTGGTCTCTGGGAAGGCAGTGGATCTGTCACCAGCTGCGGTGCTGATATCAGGCGAGGACATGTCCAAGTTTGTGAAGAACGACGAGCTAGTTGAGAAGATGATTGATGCTAGAATGGAACGAGCCAAGGTTCAGGAGATGCTCATGCCGCTCAACCGTGAAGAACTGGCGGCATCTCAGGCAGGCAACCCTTGGATTAATAAAACTCTGCATGCAATAGGAACTGTAGAGGGTCTGACCAAGTTAAAAGCCCTGTGCAAGAGATCAGGGGTGACTGTTGATTGCTACAGCTTTGCAGCTTTGTTCTACGCGGTAGCAGCAGTTCACATTAAGAGAAAAGGAGGAGAGTTTCCCGAAGAGGGGGTTCCAAAATTGTACACTGATGTTGTTGCTAACCTCAGGAGCCGGGTAGATCCAGATCCCGGGGATGAGAGCTTTATGCTCTGCATTGCTGAGGTTGAAACAAGTGAGAAGATAACCAAAGAAACCACGCTCAAATCTTGTATCGAGGAAAGAGGTTTCCTTTGTTTGCGAAGTACAAAGAAGGAGTGGAGACAGGGACACACTCCGAGTACTTCAACTCTCACCCAGAAGGAACCTACTGCGAGTTCCTGCCGAGTAACCAGGTAGGGTTCAAGTACCCCACCAAATACAGCTGGGGTGAGATGACTTCAACCGATACGGTGGGATCTTACTGGTGTCCTTTTTCAAACCAAGTGGTGCTGTATCACAGTGTTAACGGGGCCTTAAACTACACAACTTGCTGCTGTGACGGAGACAATAATTGTAAAGATGCCCAGGAAGTCCAGGATTTGTTTGTTTCCGTCATGGAAAATGCAGATAGGGTGAACGAAAATACTCGAGTTATGGACATTGTCAATTTTTAATATGAAGTCAGTTACAGAATGAACTCTATCTTATTTCGGCTTATTTTATATAATATGGCAAATTTTATGGGTAATAATTGTGTTTTAAATGCCTAAGTATGCGTGATATTACTAAGTAGTCTATTAAAAACCTTTTTATACTAAATTAGTTTATTAGTTTATTACATTAATTAGATGAAATCCTTAGTATATTAAAAGTCGTTTGTGATCTAGGATAAGCATGGCAAAAACTGCGTGTCTAGTCAGCCGAGGTTCTAACTAAAACTTATGAACTCTGAATCCATTGATGTTAAGATGTCTATCTTTTTATCGCTCTGAGACCAACTTCATGGCTCCGAACATGGCCAGGTGACTCAATATGCGGTTTATCGTCGCTACAATTGAGTTTATACTATTGTATGGCTCAGAAACATGTCATTGAAGAAGCACATTGATATTAATATTCGATCATTCGATGGCTGCTACATTAGAATTTTAAGGATGGCGCTTTAAAACGTAGCCTGGAAGTTTGGTCAATCCTTCAAAAAATTCCATGGTTAACTTCCAAGGGCAACTATGAAGATACAGGAAAGGAGGATGCGATTAGGGAGCCACGTTTATCGGCACTTAGAGTTACTTCAAAACCACTTATCGGCGTTATCAGAGTTATCGGCGAAAAAATCACGTGGCATTATATACGTAGGTAAAATTACTCGTCAGGCTAAAGGTTTTAGCAAATGCTTGAGATATGACCATGATTTGGTTAGGGTTAGGGTCAGAGTGAGTATAGGGTTAGGGTTTTGGATTATCACTATCAGAGCCATATTATATTCACAGAGCCATAAAATATTCTTATAGAGAACGTGTTAAAGTTAGTCACGTAATGGTCAGTGTAAGGTGATTTATCATCATCCTATTGAAAAGCTGTAACAATTTGAATTATGAATTTGTCAAAAGAAATTATTATTTTGTGAGACAACTACAAGAGTAACGTCTATTTTTCAGGAAACTTCAGATGAAGACGGTGTGGAGGACATGGTAATGCCACCTCTAGCCCTGACCCTGAAACACAGGATAATCCCTCCGAAACCAGAAGATAGAGGAAACAACAAACCACAGTCACCTGCTTCGTCAGAGTCAGGTAGCAATCCTACATCATCAGGCTCGGGTTCTTCTCAGAGACCGTACAAATCTTGCCTCTCCTCCTCGCAAACTGACAGTAACGATAGCAGGGACCAACGCGACCGGAGAAGATCGTTTGGGTTCAGTTTGAAGGAGACTCCTGAAGAGATCTCGGCTGCTATGCCCACTATGTACCGGAGAAAGCGATCGTGGAAGGATAATAAAACTTTGGGAAAGGTAGCAAAACCTTTTGATCGGTTTTTGCGATTTTTTGGATTTAGAGGAAGGAAAAACAAACGACCTGGACATTTCTCAACTTATGAGTCAGATTTGACAATGTAGAGATTGTGATTTTAACAAATTACCCTAGCTTGATGACAAAGATATGTCATCACTGCCTCCCAGTAGCGTATGGTAACTAAATTTACTGTGTAACTAAATTCACCGTGTAACTAAATTGACTGTGTAACTAAAAGTGTAGGCAGTCGAGTTGCACAAATCATGTGACCCTCATGCAACGCCAATAAGGTTAAAAAAGTCAAGTTTTAGCCTTATTTTGCACATTACCAAGTGGCTGTCCACTATCTAACCTTGGCTGGTTTTGTTTTTAGGACTAGTAAGATGTTTCCGAGCAATTATTTTCGATTGTTATTAAAACATTATTAAATTGGTGACAATTGTTTTAAAATGTTTCTATTCGATGGATTGATGATCATTACAAGAAAAAAGATTCAATTATTGGTTGTGTAATAAAATATATCATTCATGAAATAAAGAACAAACACATCATAATATTATACATGTATAGACTCATAATATTAGACAAATACTCTCAAACAATTAGTTTAAATAAAGGGTTCATTTGTTAATTTATTAGCTTAGCTAGATATGAAATGTATTATAATCATGTGAATTATAATAATTCATCTGAATAGTTGTTACGCATTAATAACGCATTATGAATATCAAATTGATTCATATAATATAAATCTGGATCCTGACTATCTCAGTATCATTATATATATATATTATGTTGTAACGAGAAACGAGCTCCGTTTCAAAACAGAAAGTTATATTCAAATACCTAAAATATAATAATTGCTTTTAATAAATGAAATGAAATCTAGACCAAATAAATGAAATCAGGGTCAAAACAAAATGTAAAAATAGTTAAGTATGATTTATCATTTCTGTGCTATAATATAATAATATCTCTTGCTATGTAAAGTTGAACTGTATGCTATACTACTAATATGCCATATATGCAAGTTATCAAGATTTAAATAGTTTAACAAATCATGCCGATTCTTTAATCTAAAAACAATTAGAATATGATTAGGTTTCTTCCTAATATCATAATATACTTATACAATTCTAAAAATACTCCTAATATGACAATACATACAAGCCCAAATACTCATGGATTTGGTTTATAATCCTAGTGGTTTCAAAGGTCACATTACACAATTCAACAGACACATTATTACGATAACTTAAAAATGACAAATATTATTTAACAGATAATTATAATAGATCAATATTATAACACATAACTCCTTTATAATATAAATACACTACAAATAATCCTCTGGCATGTATCTTGACCTAGGTATCCTAGCCTTGAAATCCTCTTTACTCAACCCCATATCATTTAGAAGCTGTTCATAACTCTCTGAGTCCATCGAGTCAATATTTGAAACAGAGTCTGTACTGAAACTTGTTTCTGTGACAGGTCTGGTAAGACTGGACGGTGTTGGGGTGAAAGTGCTGCGGGGTGCAGTGAAAGCGCTGCGACCATTGCGCTTCCCACCCTGCCTCAGATCAGAGACAGCGACAGGTTTCATGGTTGGTTTGTCAGCTTTACCTGTTTTACCTGGTTTACTTGGTTTACTTGGTTTAGGTTTATACACAGGATAGGTGGGAAGTTCAGCGTCTGTGTTGTTTTTGGTCTGGGTTAAGACCTCGGAGGAGGTCTCGCTGAGATGTGGGTACAAGGTGGGTTTCTTGGGAGTCTGGCTCTTTGAACCCCCAGACTTTGCCCCAGACTTTGCTGGTCTAGATGGAGTGTTTGTAAGACTGGGTTTGTAAGGGCCAGGTTGTGTAGGTGGAACTGAGGGAGGGAGTTTGGGCGGTGGTGGTTTTGCTGGAGGTGTTTTCTTCTTTGTAGTGGGTGGTCCTGGTTTGGTTCCTTGCTCAGCGTCTTTTCTGACTGCTTTTACAGGTCTGTACTTGTTAAGATAAGTGCTTCCTCCAAACAATTTCATTAACTTTTGCTTCTGAAATTTTGTTGTTCGGTTAATTTAGTCTTTTAGACATGATCGAAATCGTTGATCGGGCAAAAAATGTAATATATATCTGAATCATTACCGATGCAAAAGTCATATCGTTTTTATTTCTGTGATTTCAGGAAATCTTTCTCCACGAATGCCCACTGCACCACGACTTCAAATTAAACATAATAATACGGTCTAGCATCATTTTATTGAAATAAAATCACGCCTTTAACTTACATATTCCTTGTTTCTGAAAAGTAGGACAAGAAGCACGACTACCAGTGCGATGATTACAATAACAGCCACCAGTACCCCGACCACCTTGCTCGGTGGATTGCTGGCTTCAGTGGGTGTGGTGATTTCAACCTTCTCAAAATCTGGAGGGATTGTGTCTTGAGAAAAATGGATTTATTTTGTAATAGTATATAACTGTACCCTCGCGATGGTTGTTTTTCATTAATCATATCTTGGAGCAAGAGCTAGATTGTTCTACTGATCCTATTTAATATCCATGGAATAATAACCACTTCATGACAAATTCATGGGCGATTGATCATTACTGAAAACATTCTGACTAATTTCCCCGCTATATCACATCAACAGTTAATGAATTAGTTATTAGAAATAGAATGGACCACTAGCAGAGTTTCTCAACGACAACAACCTAAGGACCACTGCCCATGCCAGTACGCGACAAAATAATATAATAGTATATCTTGAAACGGATGACAAAATTTGCATCATTACAATATGATCATTATGTTATAGTCTACCTCTGATTGAGATGGTGGCACGGTTGTAGTTGAGGCGGGCGCTTTGTACTTGGTCCTCCGCTGAAATGTTTACTGTGCTCAGTTTGGTATAATCGTCCTAATTTCCATTGTCAGAGCCTTTCTTTACGCCATCTCTTAGATTAAAGCATATATATGCTGTTGGTCTTAGTTGTATATTCCTACCTTTCTTATGCCCAGATTCTCGGTATGCATCAATATTTATCAACATGATATATTAACCTGATGACCTGTATAATGTATATCCCTCATCTCTTTAAAGCACTTCATTACGAGCGTTTTGTTTGTTTGTAAAATGTTCTCCTATTTTACCGTAGTACTTACCAACACATATGGGTGGGGAAGGATGGAAGTATTGTCCTGTCAGGCAGGTAACCACAGGTACGAAGAGCGGCACGTAGCTGCCCTTGTTGTTGCACGCGTAGCGGAGCGTCGCGCCGGGTGATATCATACTGGGCGGCTTGCCAATGTAGCCTCCGTTTGAGATATGTGGCACAGTGCAGTTGCTCACTGAAACGTTTTGAAGATTGAAGGTTTTAACTCAGTAAACTGGGATAGAGTTGACATTGGAGGCTTTCATTTTGAATGGCTTCGTTTCGTTTGAATTTTAAAACAGCGGCCAGTAAAACTTTGCGGGTGTGATTTTTGTCAGGTTTTTACCTTCAGACGTGAAGGTTTACGACTCTAAGCCAAGTATGCCAGTTTGAACCTAACACTTAGTGAAAACTCGCCCACTGTGTCGGCCATTATGTTCCCACATCCACAAAGTTCTAAATTTCTTCGCACTCCAATGCCCCGATGTCTCCCCCCTAAAATTGTCTTATGCCCTGGGAAAAAAAGGGGCTGCAGGTCTTCTACAAATTCCCTCTTTAGCACCATATTTCCTCAGAAATCCAAAATTGCCTTGCAGTCAAACTACCGTGATTCTGGATGTGGGATTATATTGGGACCATGTTTAAAAGCGATTTCGAGGAAACATTATAAGTAATAACAGCTGACAAACATATTTGCCGACAGATTGTCAACATATATTATCCTGCACTGTTATTTAAGGGCAAAAAATAGAAACAGAACCAAAAACTCTGTGCAGTTTTTTCAGACTATAAAGTCGCATCGTTTTGTTTTTGAGAAATCTTTCCCTAGTAGAATGCAATGGTCATTGCAAAATGCAAATGCACCATCACTTAAGAAGCATGGCATTTTCATGATACATACCTGGTGCACAATGCGGTAACAAGGGTGGATCGTATTTCTCTAACGTAACACACGTGATAGGAACCACACTGGTGAGGGTGTGGCCCGTTTCACACTGCACTATCAGTGTGTTGTTGGGGATGAGAGGGGTTGGTCCTGTCACTATCCCGGCTCTTATCACTGGCTTCTTACACTGCTGAGCTGCAGGGAGTTGTGTGAGTGTTAGTGTGAGGTTGTCATTTTAAGGGAGCTTGTAGGTATTCGTGAGTTGGGATGGATGCTTCAGTAAAAGCATATAGGATGTTAAAAGAATATTTTTTGGGATTTTTTAGTATTAGAAACGATAACAATATTTTTACTACTTACTTTATTAAATGATTACTTGAAGTTACTGAATTGAGTTCTAATACTTGGGGTCTCTGAACTAAAACTGTTATACCTCAAGAAACGAAGCAAGAACCTGAAACTTACGCAGACACTGAGGTAGTTTGATGGGCTGGAAGTTGTCAGCTGATATACACGTGATGGGCACGTGACAGTCCGGTTTATAGCCCAGGTCACACTGTATGCTGACAACCTGTCCAGGGGAGAGGGTGGGAGAGGAGAGACGACCGTGTGCTATCTCTGGGGCAACACTTTGTTATGGGGTTTTGGTTATAGACGTTTGAGGTATAGGTATATGTTAAAGGGGGTCATGTGATGGCGGAGGCACGCGTGGAAACGGGGTCTTTAATGAAATTTTATTTCTAAAAAAAGGAAAATTGATTTTATAGATTTGTTTCTAAAAGAGGTAGATTTCAAAATCGAATTGAAATGTTTTAGGCCCTATGTATAAAATTCTAGCGAATGTATCTTCAAAGGTCGCGTTCATATCAAAATTTAATGGTGAGCATTTCAATGGTGGAAAGATATAAATTTATCTTTCACACTTTTGAAAATCGCCCGCAAACAATTACGATATCAAGGTACCTTTGAAGACAATAAATTTTAGATAGGTAAAATTTTTTTCCTTTTGGACCAAAAATCGCAAAATAGAATAATCCCTCAAATCAGAAAACAACCTTTTAAAATCTAATCGAAGGAAATTTCAAAATTTTAGAACATATCCTGCCTTAAGGGATTGTTAGAGAAATTAGAGATTAAATTCTTGGTCGATTTTGAGGCAGCGATGTGATAATGTGCGAAACATTATACATCAGCGTGACCTTTGTTTACGAAAAACAAAATTGTTTAGCAATATTATTCCATGGGACAAATAACAGCAAAAATCACCGCCCCTTATAGCGATTCATTTGCGATATTCAAAACCACAACTTAAGGTGGATGCGTTAATAATTAGCGCTATCCGGTGTTGTTGACCCAGCATGCAGTTGTCGCTAACCAGTATAACGCTGACCAGTTCAAATATAATGCATAATTGTCGCATCCACCCTATTGTGTACCCAGTCGCTATTCGCCATCCAGCGCTTTTGCGCTACCCAAAAGCGCATTGGGCTGGTCGCCTGGCTATGCGAACTGTGTCCCCACAGCGATAGTTGTCGATCCAGCGCAACCTGGCCATCGCAAAAACATAAAATGCGCTGGATGGCGACCTAGCGCTATTGCGACATCCTAGCGCTGGCGCCTCCAGCGCTAACGTTGTCGCTGGCCAGCGCTGGCCATCGATATCCAGCGCAAAATTTTTGCGCTATTACTCGTCAGCTAGCGCTAACCAGCGCTAACCAGCGCTAGCCAGCGCTAGCCAGCGCTAACCAGCGCTAGCCAGCGCTAACCAGCGCTGGCCAGCGCTAGCTGACGAGTAATATCGCAACTTGAACTATATTGCGCTGGCTGACGAGTAATACTAATATCGAGCGTGCTAAAATCACTCTACAGTCGATCTTCGAGATTGTTCTAAAAGGGCCCCCGATGGTTGTGTCCAACTTCAATCGATGTATTTTCGGACGCTAATTCCGAATCAACCCCCATGGGCCCATGACATAGGGTTAAAATGCTCTCCTGACGAGATATTGGCGAAAAACTGTACCTACATGTATCGATCACGTGATATGACCGTATAAGGAAGTTAGTCTAATTTCTCGTTATTGTTAGGGTTTCAGCATATGTTTTTGTTAAGGATTGGGTTAGGGTTAGGGTTGGGATCAGATTAGACTTAGAGGGTTGGGGTTTCGAAAAGTCGTTCAGAACCAGCTAGAGTCAGAGAATGGATTAAAAAAGGCACGTGACAGTCAAGTGTAAAGTGATTAATCATCATCCGAGTAATATCGCAAGTATATGATTTTGATACATTGCGCTGGCTAGCGCTGGTTACCGCTGGTTACCGCTGGCTAACGCTGGCTAGCGCTGGCTAGCGCTGGCTAGCGCTGGTTAGCGCTGGTTAGCGCTGGCTAGCGCTGGTTAGCGCTGGTTAGCGCTGGTTAGCGCTGGCTAGCGCTGGCCAGCGCTGGTTAGCGCTAGCTGACGAGTAATAGCGCAAAAATTTTGCGCTGGATATCGATGGCCAGCGCTGGGCTAGCCAGCGCTAGCCAGCGCTAACCAGCGCTAGCCAGCGCTAACCAGCGCTGGCCAGCGCTAGCTGACGAGTAATATCGCAACTTGAACTATATTGCGCTGGCTGACGAGTAATACTAATATCGAGCGTGCTAAATCACTCTACAGTCGATCTTCGAGATTGTTCTAAAAGGGCCCCCGATGGTTGTGTCCAACTTCAATCGATGTATTTTCGGACGCTAATTCCGAATCAACCCCCATGGGCCCATGACATAGGGTTAAAATGCTCTCCTGACGAGATATTGGCGAAAAACTGTACCTACATGTATCGATCACGTGATATGACCGTATAAGGAAGTTAGTCTAATTTCTCGTTATTGTTAGGGTTTCAGCATATGTTTTTGTTAAGGATTGGGTTAGGGTTAGGGTTGGGATCAGATTAGACTTAGAGGGTTGGGGTTTCGAAAAGTCGTTCAGAACCAGCTAGAGTCAGAGAATGGATTAAAAAAGGCACGTGACAGTCAAGTGTAAAGTGATTAATCATCATCCGAGTAATATCGCAAGTATATGATTTTGATACATTGCGCTGGCTAGCGCTGGTTACCGCTGGTTACCGCTGGCTAACGCTGGCTAGCGCTGGCTAGCGCTGGCTAGCGCTGGTTAGCGCTGGTTAGCGCTGGCTAGCGCTGGTTAGCGCTGGTTAGCGCTGGTTAGCGCTGGCTAGCGCTGGCCAGCGCTGGTTAGCGCTAGCTGACCAGTAATAGCGCAAAAATTTTGCGCTGGATATCGATGGCCAGCGCTGGCCAGCGCTGGCTATCGCTTAGCGCTGGCCAGCGCTGGCCAGCGCTAGTTGTCGCTATCCAGCGCTAGTTGTCGCCATCCAGCGCTAGTTATCGAACTGTTTTCTGCGATGGCCAGTTGCGCTGGCCATCGCAAACTATCGCGTGCGACAGTGTCGCATAGCCAGCGACAACTAGCGCTGGATAGCGACAACTAGCGCTGGATGGCGACAACTAGCGCTGGATGGCGACAACTAGCGCTGGATAGCGACAATTATCGAACATATATATTTTGCGCTGGCCAGCGTTATCCAGCGCTGGATAGCGACAACTAGCGCTGGATGGCGACAACTAGCGCTGGATAGCGCTAGTTGTCGCCATCCAGCGCTAGTTGTCGCGTTTTGACTATCGCAAAAGAACCTCCTTAGCTTTACAGAGGGTTTAGCACTATTGATATATCAGCAATAGTCACCGCACTCCTTAGCTTTACAGAGGGTTTAGCACTATTTATATATCAGTAAAACTCACCGCACTCCTTAGCTTTACAGAGGGTTTAGCACTATTGCATTGATATATCAGTAAAACTCACCGCACTCCTTAGCTTTACAGAGAGTTTAGCACTATTGATATATCAGTAAAACTCACCGCACTCCTTAGCTTTACAGAGGGTTTAGCACTATTGATATATCAGTAAAACTCACCGCACTCCTTAGCTTTACAGAGGGTTTAGCACTATTGATATATCAGTAAAACTCACCGCACTCCTTAGCTTTACAGAGGGTTTAGCACTATTGATATATCAGTAAAACTCACCGCACTCCTTAGCTTTACAGAGGGTTTAGCACTATTGATATATCAGTAAAACTCACCGCACTCCTTAGCTTTACAGAGGGTTTAGCACTATTGATATATCAGTAAAACTCACCGCACTCCTTAGCTTTACAGAGGGTTTAGCACTATTGATATATCAGTAAAACTCACCGCACGCGCACTCCTTAGCTTTACAGAGGGTTTAGCACTATTGATATATCAGTAAAACTCACCGCACTCCTTAGCTTTACAGAGGGTTTGGTTCCAGTACTTGAACTCAGTAGCGGAAGTGCAGACCAAATAGCCCGGCCCAGTGATCTGGTAATCAGCTCCACACGTCACTGCCACCTTGTCACCAGGCTTTATCGGACCAGCTGTCTCTATAACACCGTTCTCCACCACGGGCTTTTCACATGGCATCGCTGAAATTGAGATAGTATTATGATAATTTTATTTGGAGGTTGGCTTGTGAAGGGCGTATTTTGTAACAATTAAAGAATGCTCGAACCAATTAAGTTATTAACTCGAGTTTGTTCATTTTGTTTAGTTTATACAGACTTATATTTTACTTGGGTTTTCCAACAGACACATGTTCACCAAGTAACCGGCCAATAATAACATGAAGCGGATAGTTGCTACAAGGCAAACGATGTAAAAGACAGCGTGTGTCAGGTTCTCTACAGTATTCCTATCATTCGGCCGAGTAGATTGTGGGGGGCTACATAGACTCAGGAGTCAGGATTATAAGCCTTCATACAAGGAATAGTATGCCTAATTATACGTCACGAATCAGCCACATCCCTCCCAACTTCTCTCTAATGGATTATTCGAGTTCTAAATGTTTAGTCTAAGTATTTAGTCTATTCAATATGCTATTTGAATGACGTGGCATTGACAATGTGACCAGATCGTTACAGTAGGATCGCAGAGTAATCTACCGCGTGACTTCAGCTCATCACGCACCAATGTGGGTAATATGTACCCAGGTGGAGGATAATATGTACCCAGGTGGACGATAATACGTTTCTTCAGTAAAGATGGTTCTAGACTTTCATTGCATTATGCTTCGTTGGTTACACTCAGGGCACGAATTTCACGTTTTGTATCACTAATACAGGACGTAATACTATGTAATCACTTCTACATTGTGATTACAGAGCCCGTTGCTATGGCCACCCTGTACGTGACCCTTTGCTATTTTAAATTTCTTAACCAAAGCAGCTTTTCATTTGTTGCACGCTAGCTACTTTTCGTAGCACTAAACACAACATGCAGGCATTATGTTGTTTAAACTTGTTTAACTTTTCGAATTTGTTTCTAATCAGAGAAAGTTCTTATATCTTCTTCATAACTATTTCGGATTGTTGTAGTGCACCGTATCAGTATATTTATTCTTTGCTGGAGCTCATGTACAAGCTTTCTTGCAAGCGAACTTTATATTTTAATTTTGTGACCATCTTCTGATTTAATTTAATGTGTTCTTAGAACTGCATAATTTAAGTCCAAGAAAGTATGGATCCTTTCAATAGTTCAATCTCCAAACAGGATATTATCCATTTCTCAAGTAATTAGCACGTATAATCACCAAGTTTTTAAGTAATCACAACATAATTATACTCACGTGCACATTTTGGCAAAGTGCCGAGTGTATGTACACTTCCGGTAGTGTACACATCACCAGAGATACACGCAACCCGCTTATCAGATGATATCATGTACTCAGGAGAGCACTCTATCTGTAGTTCCTCTCCGGGCTGGATCATATCATTGTTCAGGATCTGGCCGTTCTGCAGGTCGAGGGGTCGAGTACAGGGCACCGCTGAAAGTTTTAATTAAGGTTTAGATTGAAAATATAATCTGTCTGTTCATTCGATTTTGTATGCCTCTGTATATGGAGGGTAATGCTGATTTGTCCCTCAATATGGATTATATAATAATAAGGTTAATATACAAACTACACGTCTCATAGCTTAGATAACACTAATTATGCAGACGTGAAGATAATTATTTGAGGATGGTGCATGCTGTCACGTGTAACAAAAGCACCTGGGCCACCTCTCCATGACAACCGTCCTATGTTATACATTGAACTAGCGATTACAGAATTAGCTATCTAAAGTAATAGTCTCAATAAATGTGTGTGTGGAAAATTTACGAACAGCTTAATCAAGAAAACGGTAAGAGGTCTAGGTTATGGGACTGATTTTTTCGGTATAGTTTCGACAAAACTTGGAAAAAGCCCAAGAGCTTAAGTTTTTTTAAATCTGCCGGTGGTAAGTGGTTTAATTGATGATTTTGTGACCCAAATGTTAAAGTGTTTCACGTTCTCTCCCTCTCTCTCTCACTCTTGCTTTCTCTCTCTCCCCCTCCCCCCCCCCCCCCCCCTAACAGATTTGCTATATAATTAGATAATTTGGCAATGGACCGCAAGATTACCGATCAATATGATATGCTGTTGTACGTAGGTTGTAAGTGTCAAACTAAACGTTAATTTATTTTCTATTACACATTTCAATTTACAGTCCCATATCCTAGCACCTTTCCTATATGTACAGTAATGAATATAATATATATCATGATCTTGAGACCTGAACCTATAATGTGACTAGTTTGCTTCCCAAAAAAACAAAAACAAAAACAAAAACAATTTACAAGCCTTATATCCTACAATGCATTTAAAATGTGTGATGCATTCCGTAGAAAACTGCAGTTATAAGTTGTTATTTATTATTAAATAAAGTCTTACTACTGGACATTTATTTTCTTACTATTCTAATTTCAATCTAGGTATTTGATGGTTATAGGAGAAGATGCTCCGGTGTTCAGCGTGCAACCTGAAGAACTCCGCAAGCTGAGCAGAAATCTTGTCGAACAGGTAAATTACCAACTGCCTGACTGCCATTCAGATTTTTTCTGAAGGTTCTTGACTTTTGTAAACTTATTTGCCCGAATTCAAATAAAACAAATTACAAATTGTGCACGTTTTAGCGTTATGTATTTGTTTCAAAATGATCATAAGTTTATAACCTGGAGATACCTTATCAGGCAGCGAAAGAGACACTCCAGGAAGCTAAAGCTATAAATGACCCTGCGGTGAGTTAAATACTAATTTAATAATTACTTAGAATTAATTTTCTTATCTTTAATCTACTTGTTATCCATATTGTAACTGCGGACAGGTACTATTATTATATAATAATGAATATTTAGTGTGTAAGTAAATACATACTATACATTATAGATCGCTAGTGGTGCAAATGGCAATCAATACACGAGAGCCACAAATTCAAGTGTACAAAGAGTACACTAGACTACACAGTGTACAATGTACAATGTACATAAGATAAAAAATGCTCTTGTATTCACAATTATTTCGTGGCAGTTGCTTCAGAAGAAGGGTATACCGAGACAAAATGTAAAGGTTTTACAAGGAAAAACAATTGGGTGTCAGTTGGTAAGTTATATATAATACATTATACATGTACAGTACGCGATGTACTAGTGTGACTCTGTGTATGAAGCCGTACTGCATTCTTTCAATCCTATCTTTCATTTGTGATGTGATTTTTAATGAGCATTCAAGTACGTGCATGGGGTGTACATGTGAAGCCGCGCTAATCTTCTCGCTACAACCTTGATTTAGCCTTTAGATTTTAGATCATTGAGGAGGGTTATATCACGGTAGGTCAGAGTTGGTGTTAATTTGTTTTTACTCGTGACAATGATTCTGAGTTTTGATTGATTGATGCTACTTTCTATTTGGTCACTGTCGCGGGTCATAACAATATTGTGTCACCTCTCTGTAATAACTGTCGTATATTTTATTGTTCAAGGCATTCAATCTTAAATCCCTCAGGGTTTTCATGGAGAATGATTCATATGCGATCGCTCAATTTCCATCAAAATTGCTCTCCATTTCCCGACAAAAACTCGTCAGGAAATTAGGGTATAAGGTGCAGTGGTATGTAAACAGTCTGACTGTCATCGTAAAATTGATTGTGTGCCAAAAATAGATTTTAAATTTAGAGAAGGAAAGTGAAATCCAAGATTTAGATCTGAAGCATCTTTGGATTTTCATGAGAGTGCACAAAATATGTTTTGTGAATTTTCAAAATTGTTTCCCATACTCTGAACATCTTCCTCTACCTATGGTTAAAGGTCTGGACATAGGTTTAGAGCAAGGCCGAATGACGGTTGAGAGCTAATCTTGATGCAGGAGGTCGTCAATTAAAAACCTTTATCACTCAATCTTAACTAAAGTTAGTCAGTAGTCACTTAATTAAATATATATATTCGAAAATGTCTGTCACCAGCCTTCATCTTACTCCTCGATTCTGATGTACCTGTAAACTCAATATTTTAGCGGAAAAGTCACAAAATATGGACTAATTATCAAGAAATTGCACATGTCCGATACTTTTTCTGATCAATTCCACTCGGAAATAACCTTTCCAAGCCATATAACTATATAATGATCGAGAGAGTTTCCGATACGACGAATGATACAATAAAAGTATCTGAGAATTTAGATTTAAATATCTAAGTACGTGACCCAGGCTAGACTGTGACGTCACTAATATTCATCATACCCATTTACCTCTGCAAGTAGGATAAGAATAACGCTGCTATTAAAGCAGCCGATGTATAATGTTGGCGTGGACATAGCAGATTTAACACCGCATACCCAGCATATATGTAGCACGTAGAGAAATGCCTGTTTTCAAACGCAATAGTTCTATATGTCGATAGCCCGATATTTGTTTGTTGAAGTCCTCTATTTTTTTGACCTGTAGCACAAGCTGTGCATGTTTCCTAAAACAGTATAGACTTTATTGATTTTTTTGTTTGTTCTTAAATCATTTTAGTTTGTTAGATATGAGTCACAATGATTCCAATCTGTACCGTGAACTAATGCCATCCAAGGTATGTGCGATTTAATCTCAGATAACTGTTTTCCGGTTATTTAGACGGTTTCCGTGAAATGACAAGAATGCGGCAAATGAGGTAAAGCGACCACTTACATTGTGACGGATCGTGACTAGAAACCACACCAGATAAATATACTAATATAGCACTATTCTCTGATCAAAAGATGGATTTTTGAAGATTCGTCACATTTGGTTAGCCATGAAATTGTAACTGAAGAATTGGCCATTTTTACAAACCATTTGCACCATTAGACAGGAGCCACAAACATGATTAAAACTGCGACTGGATTGAAATGTTTTAAATATATAACCCTGTTTAACGAATTAATCTAAATAAGTATTCCTATATTATATTAATTATCCCGTAAATTGTAAATAGGTTTTAAAACGCATGATACGATTGTTTAAAATCCCTAACCAAACTCTCACTGCATATTCATCCCTTATCGAGACAACACCCCCTACCCAAACCAACACCAGGAACCGGACACGTTGGACCCCCTGGAGCAGTGGAACCCCGACCAAGTGTACCAGCGGGCCCTGACCTGGGTGGGCGAGGAACTACAAGAGCAACTGTTAGAGGGCTTCTTGCAGGGCACTACACCAGACTACGTGGATATCCACCAGTTCATTGAGTACCTCAGAGCCAGGGGTCTCTCTCCTCTTGTTGATCCTAGACTCAAAGGTAAGCCAGGGGTCTCTCTCCTCTTGTTGATCCTAGACTCAAAGGTAAGCCAGGGGTCTCTCTCCTCTTGTTGATCCTAGACTCAAAGATAAGCCAGGGGTCTCTCTCCTCTTGTTGATCCTAGACTCAAAGGTAAGCCAGGGGTCTCTCTCCTCTTGTTGATCCTAGACTCAAAGGTAAGCCAGGGGTCTCTCTCCTCTTGTTGATCCTAGACTCAAAGGTAAGCCAGGGGTCTCTCTCCTCTTGTTGATCCTAGACTCAAAGGTAAGCCAGGGGTCTCTCTCCGCTTGTTGATCCTAGACTCAAAGGTAAGCCAGGGGTCTCTCTCCTCTTGTTGATCCTAGACTCAAAGGTAAGCCAGGGGTCTCTCTCCTCTTGTTGATCCTAGACTCAAGGGTAAGCCAGGGGTCTCTCTCCTCTTGTTGATCCTAGACTCAAAGGTAAGCCAGGGGTCTCTCTCCTCTTGTTGATCCTAGACTCAAAGGTAAGCCAGGGGTCTCTCTCCTCTTGTTGATCCTAGACTCAAAGGTAAGCCAGGGTACCCCTTTAAATAAAATCTTAGTCTTGATCAACGAGGTACAGTGAGCAAAAGGCACGTTCGTGTATGTAAATCTAATTAAGAAGACTAGAATTCGGCTATGTTAGATCAAGTAATATTACTATTTTGCAGATTTTATCGCAGCCGTCAGCACAAAACCAGAATCAAGCTACTTCTACAGCAACATCCGGCAGCACATTCCACACGACGAGTTCAAATCAATTGTGTTGAGCAACCCAACCATTCTCTCAGCCATCAAAGGAGAGTTCATTGTGGAGGACTTTCCCGACCTGGTCCAGGCAGCGGATGAAATATTTGAAGAATGTAAAACTGAAACATCAGGCCAAGTGACAACCTACATTCCATCTCTAGCCCAATATCCTGCGGAAAAATGGGGCGCTTCCATCTGCACTACAGATGGTCAAGTTCATGTGTGTGGTGATGCTGATGATCTCGTTACTCTGCAGTCCGTTACTAAACCTGTTTTCTACGGCATCTGTCTGGATGAAATCGGGGAACAGACAGGTTCACGAGAAAGTGGGAAAGGAGCCGAGCGGGCACGGTTTCAACAAGATCACCCTGACCAGGGACAACAAGGCCCACAACCCCCTCATCAATACTGGCTCCATATCACTGGCCAGCCTGTACCTACCTGAACACCCCATGGCAGAGAGGTTCCAGTCAGCCATGTCCAGATATCAGGCTCTTGTGAAGGGTTCTGGGGAGATGCTCCACTTCAATAACACTGTGTATCTCTCGGAGCTTGATAATGGACACAGGTGAGCAGTTTTAGTACAATGTTAACACAGACCAACTGCATATTATTATATGTTATGTGCATTCCACACAAGCCTAACTGTTCTTGGTGTCAAACATTGTCTACTCACTTGCATATTTGGGAAAGTTCTAGAGCACGGGCTTACTCCCGTAATATTGAACATTCCGAGGTTACACTACAGTGACACACCAAACACCGAACCTGACAACCCCGGACCAAATTGTTACCGGACCAGTTAAGTTTCGGCATTTTGCCATATTTTACATAGTACAATAACATGAAGAATTCTTTTACCGAATCTACTCAATTCTTACACTTCGGGAAAATTGCGATTTTAAGCGACCTTAATTGGTTCGGGATAAAAGTTTCACTAATCTTGTTGCAGGAACTATGCGATTGGATACTACTTGAAGAGTAAAGGTTGTTTGAAAGACAAGGTTAATCTCAAAGAGACGCTGGAACTTTACTTTCAAATGTGCTCTATTGAGACATCTATTAGAAACGCATCCGTATTGGCAGGTATATCTCTAACTTATTACAGCCTCGTTTTATATTCATATATGGTTTTTACTTATACCGTGCAGGAAATGGTCATGATCGCACAGTCCTATAAAACAATGTCAGTCTAACCATGATAATATCGGGACCACCATTTCAGCTGCCCTTGCAAACGGGGGACGGAACGTGTTCACGGGCGAGCAGATCATCTCGGAGCGTTCAGTCCAGAACATGCTGTCCATCATGTTCAGCTGTGGAATGTACGATTACTCCGGAGAGTGGGCCTTCGAGGTGGGCATTCCGGCCAAGTCGGGTGTGTCCGGGCTTATCATCGTGGTTATCCCGGACGTCATGGGACTAGCTCTGTGGAGCCCGCGATTAGACAGCTACGGTAACTCAGTGAGAGGGGTCAAGTTCGCCAGGGAGATGGTTAAGAAGTACTCTCATGGCAGGAGCCAGAACGTGCTCCACCCCTTCAGCAACAGAAGTTTGACGGAGAGAGTCGTAATCAGAACACCAAAACATTCCAACCCTTCCCCGCCCGACCTCATGTCCTGGACTTCACAGTACCGGGAAGCCGGAGGTACCACACCAGTGCTGCACCGTTAGCACACACCAGTACTGCACCTTTAGCACACACCAGTACTGCACCGTTAGCACACACCAGTGCTGCACCGTTAGCACACACCAGTGCTGCACCGTTAGCACACCACCACACTGCGCTGCTCAGGGGTGTGGCCAGAGGACTGAGAATGTTTAGGAGATAGGACATTTAGGAAACAGCTCGTAATTAATTAAGGTTACTTTAAATTGATTAAGGACTTTTAATTTATCTTTGGTTAACAGATCATGACAGAGACATTATGGATTAGTGATTTAGCGGTTAAAGGACGGGATTGCTGTGAAGTGTGCACACTACACAAAGCTTAAGCAACATTCTATTGGTGAGTGGTGACCACATAGCGGTAGTTAATAATTTATAAATATTATGTTGCAGTGGTAACGTTCTTTTTCAACTATTTTTAAGTAAGTCAGTCTAGTAAAGTAATAATCTTATTTTTACACACCAATGCCATATTAACATGCCACAACATGCCATTATAATACGGTACCGCATATTATGCCAAAACCTCTTAAGAGCTTTACAATGATCACAGATTATTCAACAGTAAAGTAGTGCGACTATTTCACGATAAAAGTTTAGGTTGTTTAATGTTCAGTTAAAAGAAAAGTTCCTAGAATGTTAACGACATTTTCTGAACTTTCTGGTAAATTCTTGACAGCAGCACTTGAACTACTTGACTTAATATCATATTAGGCACTTGCACTTGACATAGCAGCCAGTATACATTATCCAGTGTAGATTGAAACATTGCGAGTTGCGGCCTGAGCTTCTGAATACTGATTTGTTCAATGAATAAGAATGTACGCCACACACGTAGATCACTTTATAAATCAGTAATGTAAGTAGAGGTGGGAGCAGCTAGTGTTACTAACAATCAGCTAATAACACTGGATGCTGATGGGAAGGAAAGCATGTTTTTTGACACGTGACAGCAATTAACCAACTAGTTAACTAATTAACCAACTAGCATCCAGTATTGACCCATCAAACCACTGAATCACTGTCACCTGTCAACAAAAATGCCTCCTCGACAGAATCCATATCTATAGAAGGTACACACTGCTAACTTAATAAATGACTTGATTTATCGCAATCTTTCTTCTTAGTTTGAATAATATAATGTTATCTACGCTGACTTGTACATATAGAGCACTGTAAAGTGTAAACGAGCTATTATATCGCTGTATTTTGGATACGAATGATTAATCACAGTTGCAACACAGCCGCAAAAAACTGGCTTCCAAATGTCGAGATTTTAATGTAATTTTATCGCAATTTCGAGCTTTTTGCGGCGGTGCTATAGGATGAATGATTTGGATAGATTAATCTCCGGGTTCTAAGTTATATTAAAACTATTGGCTAGTACCGGTTACCAAGCCGGAAAAGTTAATGGTAATCATTTTTACAAGTAGACTTTTTTAACGAAGACGAGTGCTTTCTAAACTATTTAATAATTAGCTTATTCATATTATGTTATTTATATGTGCGATTGTGTAATAAAATCGGTGATTGAAGATATTATTTAAATATATTGTGTTAAAAGATAGGATTTTATTTTCAGCTAGATTGTAAAACGAAAAATGTAACGCAAGATCAACCACCAAGAATGATGGATCAAGAAAAATTAGGTATAGCCTGACTGCTTGCGATATTTTATAATAAATACTTTCGTTGTTAAAGCATAGCTTCTTAATTTGTATAGCTTCTTAACTTTTTGTTGAACATCGTAAATTATGTAATATTCTGTTTAAACGGGAGCACGACTTTTTATTCCTCAACTTTTATCCCACTGAAGTTTCTAACCCCGATTTTAAGTCAAAAAAGTATCCTCATGCCTAATTAATATTCCCTTAGCTCTATACTAGTCTATAGCTAGATCAAGGTTCAACCTTGATCACATCTCCCTAGAGCCAATTTATAAAAGAAGAGGAGTAAAAGTCAGTACCGTGTCATTATTGTGTTACGTTCCTTTTTACATCTTTAAATTCATTTGTCTGATTTCGCTCAACAGGTGCAACATATGATTATAAAATTACCTCTTACTCTAAATCTCATTCAAGTGAAAAATAATTGATCCTGTTGCTCCAAAATATGCGACAATCGTGTTTGTATAAAATTAAGAAAAGTTAAATAAGATTACCTTTGCACTGGGGTAAAGAAGAAGGAAAGAAAATAGTTTCGGTGACACAGAAGACCGGATCAGGAGGGTGAATTTCCAGACCGGGACTGCAGGTAATGTTAACCTTATCTCCGGGAGGCGTGGAGCTGGCAACTGTACCGTAACGGATTGTAGGTGCTCCACAGCTCACCGCTGTAGAATTATTTAATTAATTGTCAATAAGAATGAGTGATGAAAAATCGTCATGTTTGCCTTGGGTCAAAATACGGAAAATGTGAATCTCAAATTCTTTATTTTATCACAGTAATTAGATGGTGGTGATTAGATAATAGATTATATGATAACAAAACAGCAACGTTTGCTGATTTTCGTATCAACATTAGTGGGAGGAGAAGCTAAACAAATACTAAATTCATTTAAGGGTGAAGGTGAGGGTGAGGGTGAGGGTGAGGGTGAGGGTGAGGGTGAGGGTGGGGGTGAGGGTGAGGGTGAGGGTGAGGGTGAGGGTGAGGGTGAGGGTGAGGGTGAGGGTGAGGGTGAGGGTGAGGGTGAGGGTGAGGGTGAGGGTGAGGGTGAGGGTGAGGGTGAGGGTGAGGGTGAGGGTGAGGGTGAGGGTGAGGGTGAGGGTGAGGGTGAGGGTGAGGGTGAGGGTGAGGGTGAGGGTGAGGGTGAGGGTGAGGGTGAGGGTGAGGGTGAGGGTGAACATCCCAAATAAGACCGCCTATTGTGTGCAATATAGTAAATTCCGTACAAGTACATTTGTTTTTAAAATTTTTTGGAAGAAGATAATCTTTTAGATTCGATTTTCAGTACGTGCGATTGAAAAATCCTCGCCATGTCGAATAAAACAACTAAAACACTGTAATCTGGATTATGCTGAACAAGACAGCTTTTTTTTAATCAAATTTTAAAAAATTATACATAATTTCTATCCCTAATACTCTAATAGGAAATAAAAGTACCAACTTACGCTTGCAAACGGGTATGGGGGCTGTGAATTGGTTCTCAGTTTTACAGAACACATTCTTTACTTGGTCGTTATAATAGCCGGACATGCATCTGGTTAAAATATTGAGTTAGTAGTAAAACAGTGAATGTGCTGCCAGCATTTCCGGTTTAAAGATCCAAAGGAAAATATGATATGCGACGATTTGCCCCAAAATTCCCCTGAAACGACCATTATTATAAGCGATGGTCGTTGGAAGGAAAATAAAGATTTGGACTGATAATTTATTTTGACTGATATCTTCTAGGCACCTGTACTCGAGCTTCTGGTCAGGTTGTAAGACTGGAGAGCTGTGGAGTGCTGTTCCGTTGATGATAGTGGGTACAGGACACGGTCCAGCTTAAATTAAACATGCGTGTTAGTCGCTACCATAGCTATATTTATTTTATAATTATCTAGTTTACAGTAAGTAATAGATGTAGATAATTTGAATGTTGGTTACAGTAATGATTATCCTGTAGCTGTGTAGATTGCAGTAAAGGTAACTTTAAGACGGGTGATATTTGTGTATTAATAGTATGATCGCTTTGAGAAGCACCGCAGCCAAGACTCATAAGGAATAAGGATCTTGCATTTCCATATGGGGTATTAACCCAGTATTGATATACCCATTATATGACACAGAATACATCTACGGTTGGTAAGAGTGAAAGTTACTCACGTCTACAGGCGGGGATATCACCGCTGAATGTTTCCGCAGTAACGCACGTCACAGCACGTGGGCCAGTCACGTGGTACCCAGCCTCACACGTGACCGTGAGCTCATCTCCGGGTTGCAGTGTGGTCCGGGATGTCGTGTATCTGCCGTGTTGTGGACCATGTGGTACCCGACACGGTACCGCTGAAATTAAATATGTCTTTAAATTATTGCTTGATTACAATTAGTTTCAAAGTGAACAGCCCCATTAAAGTTTATATAATTTTTGGGTCTGTAGGTGAGTCCCATTGTCATAATTTCATTCATCGTTGTGAGCCATTATTGAGTACTTCAGGTCATTTTGATTCCTGAGTACTTCAGGTCATTTTGATTCCTTATTTCGTTTCAAAAACAAATATCGAACACAAGATTTCAATGAAATCATAGTAGTAAATGAAACAATTTTCATAACAGAAAAACGATTTTCATTGCAAAAATATACATTTGAAACAAGAAAGCTCCATTGGAAGCCAAACTTGACAATATCTTTAAATTCATCTGATCTACGGAATGAACTGCCCGTCTAAATTCTATTCATAACTCTCATCCGGAAATTTGCGGAAGGACGAACAACTTGACGGAAAAATACTCTATTAAAGAAAGAAAGTGCGGCTCGCTTAACGAATATCTTGAAACTATTAACCGAACGGTAGTAAACAAAACCATTTGACATGCAGTTGAGAAAAAGCACAAAAAAGGAAATCCTACACACGGTAACATCAAAGAAATTCCTCACATCGGGAGACAGAAGATGGGAAATGTTGGGGTAAATAGTAGTGAAGGACCCAACGGGCACGTTCGATAGAAGGTAGACACAACCAACATACATGGCGGTTATGGCGCCCTGTTTATTTGTCTTGCCTTTAGCCTTCTTAACGATCACCAACAGAGCTATCGTGGTCCCAACAACAATGAGCTGCGGAATCATGAAGAGGAGAAGTCCGAGAGGAGCCAGCAACCACTGCCAAACTGGAGCCCTGAAGAAGTACTTACACCTGTAGATACGGTAGTCAAAGGAGACATCATGTCGGTCTATAGCCATCTGGAAGAGGGGCATAACAGCGGAGAGGAGCCACATAGCAGCACTGATCAGGTACCCACATCTTCTGGTCCGTCCCATTGAGTGGAGAGGGTATATGAGGAGGTGGAGCTTGCTGAGGTGCAGAGCGCAGATCAGCAGAACAGCTGCGGTAAAGGATTGGACCTGTAGGTAGTGGAACACATAGCACGGGATCCGCCCGTACGACCACTCGTTCCGGATCAGGGATACCAGTACAGGGTGAACTCCGAATAATGCCATTGATATGTCGCTCACTGCGATGTTTTTTATCAACAGCACGCTTATCTTGTCCATTCTGATGGCATTGTACCGAATGGTGGAGAGCAGGATGATGAAGTTGCCAACCAGACTCCCAAGCATGGTGATCAGACACCATGATATCAGGAAGTACCGCTCCACTTCAGACTCAACTCCCAGCGAAGAAAGGTCGGGAGTTGAGGAGTTTGTTGAGCTCATTTAGAGAACGGCCTGACTTGCAAAGTTTTAGTTATCTGTAGGAGTTTTTATAGGAGAATTTGGTCTACCACGCTCTTTGTTAGAGGTGAAGGCAACCATTAAGGCAACCATTAATGGGTATTAAAAGGTTTTATATTCCCAAATCACGGATTGACGGATCGTCTTGTCAAGTCATCGATCAGGTGTTCGAATTAAAACTTTGAACTTTCAAGTTTCATTAAGATCACGTCTAGAGAAAGTGCACGTGATAATTAATCTGTTTCTTATTCAAATAATCCTCAAAGTTTTCCCGTAAGATCCATTTATTGGACTTTGACACAAACTTAAGTTCGACACGTACTAAAGATCGATAGTCATCTGGAACGACAAATTTTAAGTGTCGAACTACAGTTCATGTCAAACTACATAACAGTACGCATACTACTAGGAATTATGTTTAATCGATCCAACCTCAGATTTAATTCAAATGAGCTTCATTTAATTTGCGCTTCCTTTCAAATGAATATTTTTTCCCACTGTAAAGGACGAGAGAAAGGGTGTAATCAAAAATATTTGTAGCGGACCACCTGGTACTGAGCTAAGTGAAGGTCTGAAATCTGAATATGTTTTTATGCTTCACTAAGTTAATTAACCAGATAAGAGAATTAATAAATCTGATCGTTAATTATAAACAATAAACCTGTCTCCGTTAACCAAAACTACTCTTTTGCCGAGACAGTTGAGAAACAATTAAGTTATTAACGACTTATCAAGCTTATTTATTCACGAAGTAATTATCTAAATAAATGTACAATTAAAATATACAAAGTGATTATTCAAAAGGATTAATCAAACAAAGCAGCACCGACCTCTACAACCGCGGACAGCAGTAGGCTGGAAAATAGTGCCGGTGACACAGGTCAGCACCTCCTCGCTCCTCACCACGTGTTCAAACCCCGGGTTACACCTCACCCTCACCTTATCACCTGGTCTCACCGGCTCACTGGTCTCCGGTTCCAAGTATCTGTTACTGGCTATTTGGGCGTCAACTTGGCAGTTCTCTGCGGAGGTAGTGTTAGTTCTTACACCAGGAGAAACTGGTAGTTGAGGTGATCTTACAATTAAACAAGAGGCCCCCTCTATTGTGTTAGGTTCACATGTTATGTTATAATAATCAGTTTTACACATAGATATTGTGTCAAAATTACACTAGCCTTATCATTTGGAAACCCCCTCGGCTGATCTGAGGTGAACGACCCCTTATATTATATTGGCGAATTTCACCATTTATTGGGGTTTATTATTCAAAATCACCGCACAAACAAGATTCGTTACAGTTAACGCTAATTAACAAGATCATAATGTCTGTGCGATACTGTAGAGTGTCAACATGACAAACATGTGCTCTTACCCACGCAAGCAGCGTCCAAAGTCCCGGGATAAAGTTTATTGCCACTGATACACCTAACAAGTTGAGATGTACCGGTACCAGTGTACCCAGAGGTACATTCCAGCTGTCCGGACTGTCCGGGGGTCAGGGTACTGTCCGACCATTGTCCGTGTGGCACACTGGGCAGTCTGCAGTTTGTTGCTGAGTTGAGGGAGGTGGTGTTATAGTCTCCTTATTGGTCACGTGACAAATATTATTGTTCGTAAAAAAGTGAAGGACACTTTTATAGTACTTACAGATGTCAGATATTATGTGAAGAATATCATAGAGAAATACACCATGTTAATTATTTTCTGTTATTATAGCTTATATTCCAAGTTTAGGAAACTGTCTACTCAAACCCACTACCCCTCATTTACTATAGATTTCCCGGTATCATCTCTCCTTGGAGAGTTGCCACCTCAAGCAAAGGATCTTTATGTTATCCTCGTATGGGCCAACCAGGTTCAGCCTATCTCCAAAAAACACAAATAATGGCATTTAACGTAATAATATGTAGAGCTGATCAAATGAAAGTATGCTACACAAACCTCTGCAAGTGGGGAGACTGTTACTGAACCGGCTGAGGGTAACACACGTGACACTATGAGAAGTTAGCTGGTAGTTGGGATCACACGTGATTTGGAGCAGATCACCTGGTTGTACATGTGATACCGTGCTGGGTAGGGAGTGGAGGATCGTCCTCGGAACTGGACAAGGCTGGGCTGCGGAGATGGTGTTATTTTGGCTGGATCTCCAAACTGTGTTGCCGTGCATCTGAAGTGCCCAATTTCTTATCGACTTAAATTGTCAAACTTCTATAATAATAAAGCAGGTCAACACTCAACTAGAAATTATATTAGAGTTGGGCGTATATATATTTTCAAATAACCCGCCATATCCTCTTACCCTGACACCGAGGAAGCTGAGGAGAGAAGATCTGTCCGGCTACACATGTTACGGACTGCTGACTGGATATCACGTATCCGGTATTACAGGACACAGTTAGAGGATCTCCTGGGGTCACCGGTCCCAGTGCTGCTCCGTTCTCTAACTCAGGAGCAGGACAGGGCAGTGCTGGGGGATGAAGTGACAGATTTATTTGGGAATCAACATTCAGCTGCAGTTTTTTGTCTTCGAGATGTGTTCTTAGATGGAAAGATAAAGCAATGAGAAAAGAATATCAACAGTTCAGGTCGCCTTTATCTTAGCCTCCTGTTCCAATTGTGTTCAATAGAAAGAACCAGGACTTAAGTTTACTCACGAATACAAGTAGGCAGTCCGCCGGATTCTCCCCGGACTCTATACTGGTTGTCAGTGACACAGTAGACCGAATCAGAGAAGCTGAGCTGGTAGTTGGGATCACATGACAGGGAGATCACATCTCCCGGCTCTGCCTGACTTGTCGTGAAGGTGCCGTGGCGAGGTGCTGATGCTAGGAGGCATGGTCTTGCTGGAGGAATTAGAGGGTTAATTAGTTAATTATTGTATTGATGAGTAATATGATTTTATCATGAACTTAAAAAGTATCATGTCTGGGATCAAATGTGCGTCGATAACTAAAAATAAGCTTCTCTAGCTAAATAACGTCCAGTTATTACATTCCTAAAATAGTATGTTAAATGTATACTAGACATAGCCCAAGTTAAACTATTATGACAGGACTGACCTCTACAAGATACGGTGGAAAGATCAGGTGAGAAAGTGTTCGCTCTGATACACTGGATCCTTTTCCTACCGACGAGATCATATCCTATATCACAGGAGATACTGATCGTGGTATCAGGTGATACACTCCCAGAGGTAGCAGGTGATGTGATTCTGCCGTTTCTTATGTAGGGTATACTGCACTCTCGGTCTGTGTTGAATAACGTTTTCCAATAGAATAAAACTTGAATATCAATTTTGTTCACCACGTTCAGTATGAAGGTAGGGCAAAGTAAAGGAGATTGTAGCAAATAGCAAGCAGTCACTCCATTTCAGATATGATTTCTAATTCGGTTTGAAAATATTTTTTTAAATTTCTACACAGAAATGAGATCTAAGACATACCGTTGCAGGAGGGCAGGCTAGGGTGAAATATGTCGCTAGTCACACAAGTGACGTGTTGTTCATATGAGATGGTGTAATCAGGGTCACACTGAATATGTAGTCTGGCTCCAGGCTGGATATTGTTCCCTGTGTTTAGAACCCTGCCGTTTGGTATCCTGGAGCCGGGCTTCGGGCAGGGCATCGCTGGAATTTAAAATATTTGTCAGGAAGATAACTTGTCAGTTGGTTTAAATCCGTATATTGTTTCTGATACGTGATAGTGATTAACGCATATGATTGGTCGCTTATAGCTGACTGGTTCGTTGTCATGTGAGAGAATAACTGTGGAATAATCTTACACTAATTACTAATATATAATAACTGTTAATCAACTCTATTAGATAGCTGCTAGTGTGCTTATTCGGCAAATTATATAACTGTAGCTGTTCCTTAACCCGTTTATCAAAATTAAAACTTTGGCACTGCTAACTTTCACTCACCAATACACGAAGGAAGAGAAGATTTAAAGATATCGTCAGTAACACATTTCACTACACTAGAAGATGATATCTGGTATCCTCTGTTACATGAGACAGTCACTTGCGCCCCGGGGGCTAGCTGACGCTGTGACGTCACGTCACTGTACTGTATACTGGGTAACTTGCAGGGCTGGGCTGAGGGTAGTAATGTAGGTTTACAATTACAAGTATCAGTGTGTAAAGAATGTTGTGCATGTGAGCGATTTAAGTTATTAATGTTTATCCCAGGTAGATAATAGGCACATGTCTTGATAAGTAGAACAAATTGCTGACAAGTGTGCGCGGTATATCATTATTGCAATTTATTCTGTAGTTAGACAAAGTTATGGCCTAGGTGTACTACACTTATGTACTAAATGATACACTAATTCTCCATGACATCAGTCGAATAGTTGGTAATAACGAGTAATAACGAATAGTTAGTAATAATGAGCGTGACCCACATGGTCCATCATTAATATTTAGTAAACGTAGCGCGCATTGACGCCATAGTGAAGTAAGCCTTCATCCCCCTTGGCCAGGATACCATAAACTAGTCGCGCGCAAACACAGCATGGCCTGGACTGACTTGATATTAGCATATAAAGATATAAGGGGCCATCTACAGTCTACTTAGGACGTCCGGCAAATAGGGAGGGGGGATGATTTTGGAATTTCGGACAAATCCGGACAGGGGGAGGGGGTGGTTTCTGAAAATCCGGACGTCCGGGAATTTTAGCAGAATTGTCACCTACTTATGTCACCTATGTTGAGATTCGTTAAGGTTTAACAGGGCCATCACATTGTGTGACCACCCCACAGAGAGGAGATCTCTCTCATCTCTGTCATTCCTCCAGCAAAGCAGCGAGTTTGAGTTCTGAGGAGTGTAGCCCCTGATGGGCGGTGTATCCGGAAGAGATAGCATGAACTGCAGGGTGAGCTGCGATTTGAAATGCTCTCGGTCGTCGATGCAATTCATATGGTAAGGCATTGCATTCCACAATTTTGGGCCTTTGACTGCAAATGAATTATCATACAGTGACTGATTTGCTGCTGAGCTGTGTCTGCATGCAGATGGAATGACTGCAAAGTTTCCAAAACGTGGCATGGAGACAAAATGCACGTTAATGTCGTTGCTGGTTATATGGTGACTCCCTGTCCCACAACGCGTGCACTGCCACGTGCACTTGGTGTGGTTCGCACTGCGCTGTGCGTGAGTCGTGACATCACCTTAATAACACCAGAATGTGTGTGTGTGTGTGTGTGTCTGTCTGTCTGTCTGTCCGTGTGTAATTTCCGGTCGGTTATACAAAAAAAAACGGTAAGAGTTACGGGACTGATTTTTTCGGTATAGTGTCGACAAAACTCTGATGAAGCCCATAGGAAATTTTTTTAAAAATCGGCCGGTGGTAAGTGGTTTTATTGATGGTTTTGTACCACAAATGTTACATAAAGTTGCTTGAGCAGAACGGCAAGAGTTACGGCGCCTGCTCTCTCTTTCTCTCGCTCTCTCTCATTACTGTGTAATATGTTATCTGCTGCATTTAAGTAGCGTCATAATTGGATTAGCCCGGAAGATTTGCTGTAATGTTATACCTTAAGCTTATTAGGGGAGGGAGTACTGTTAGTGTTTGGGGTCTGTTTGGACTGCAGAGAGAGAGAGAGAGAGAGTTCATACGACAATGTTATGCGTGTTTTCAAATATAATATGCGGGTGTGGTGCGGAGTTAACAAGGGTTAATTTCTATAACGATTTAAGCGGTTCAGGACGGGAGTGATGAGGTGTAATACTCGGTGTTCAGACCTTATGATCATGGAATGTGGTGCCTAATAATGATTAAATTATCCACAAGAAATAACTGATTATGAGATTATTGTTTAAGAAACTATTGGGTCACCTAATGCGGGTTTTGACTCAGCGGGTAATTACTCCTACCCTTTTTAACTGCGGCAGTGAAATCCCGGCCGTAGGCCGGGTTACACTAGTGATCATATAAAGCCACGATGTGTCTTCGATTTCCAGCTGAATTCCAATAGCACGTAAATACTCTCGAATAATTATTCGAGGATAATTGGTTGTCTTATCATTCGATTTCCAGGGATGGATTTTAACAAGTCTTTCTTTAATCTTCATTCAATTATCTTTCATCTAGAACCTCAGATTTGATAAGGGGTCTTTCACATAATAATTAGGGTAGCGACTAGCATGAAGCGTAGAGAAAAGTGTTTTTCTAGGTAAAAAAGTCAAGGGGGAGGGGGGGGGGGGGTGTAAAAATTGCTAGAATATTTTAATGTAACTGTGCTAACTTGTTTGACACTAAATTTATTATTGTCTATTCTAAGTAACTACACATTGTATTGACAATGAATTTAAGTTGGTTTCATTTGTATTCTTAAAAGTAGCTGGAAATCTGGACGTCCGGGGCCGGGAAGGGGGGGGGGGGGTTGTTTTGAAAATTCGGACACACCCGGACAGGCTAGGAGGAGGGGGTGATCTGAAAATCGGCGATTTTGGCGGACATCCCAAGTAGATGGCCCCTTTATTGGCTATTTTCCGAGTCTCAATAGCTCATAATATGTATAATAACACACATAACTCCGGCACGCACAGGGATTATATTTCAATTTTTTCCGCGACGTGCGGGAAAAGTTGATCATAAATTCGAGTGCAAAGCACGAGGGATTATTATGAAAATTATAACGCCGACGTGCTTTAGACGTCCGCCAAAATCGCAGATTTTCAGATAACCCCCTCCCCCTGTCCGGGTGTGTCCGAATTTTCAAAACCACTCCCATCCCCCGGACGTCCGGTTTTCCAGTTACTTTTATCTTTAAGAGCACAACTACAAATAAAATCAACTCAAATTCATTGTTAATAAAATGTGTAGTTACTTAAAATAGACAATAATACATATTTTAGAATTTAGTGTCGAACAAATTTATCACAGTTACATTAGAATATTTTAGCAATGTTAACCCACCCCCCCCCCCCCCCCCCCCCCCCGTAATCAACCGTAAGCGTTTGGAAACCCCCCTCCCCTCGGCTGATTACGCATTATGTGAACGACCCCTTATCAAATCTGAGGTTCTTGATGAAAGATAATTTAATAAAGATTAAAGAGAAACTTGTTAAAATCCATACCGAGAAAGTACCTGGAAATCGAATGATAAGACAACCAATTATCCTCAAATATTTATTCAGCTGGAAATCGAAGACACAACAAGAATTGTTGTTCTACGTGGCTTATTCAGGTCACGATTCACAGTCACTCACGGTGCAGTGCACCAAGTGCACGTGGCAGTGCACGCGTTGTGGGACAGGGAGTTAGCTGTATCAATACGACTGCAGTCGTTGAGTTCTTCATTATTACGACTCGAGGGGAACATCTCCTGAGTCAGCTATATAATATTGATACTACTTAGTCTTCACTATTTATCTCTTTTTTAAAATCTCAACACTTATTTTACTTCGGACATTCCAACAGCCACATTGTTACACAAGTGTGTAACCAGCCAATTACAGGAAGCCGAAGGATTCAATTATACATTAGGCCAGTGACGGTTAAGGTAGTGTGTACCATACTTTCTTCGCCCGAGACTTTGCTGCAATGGACAGCTCCTCATTTAAACCTCACCCGATTTCTCGAGTATTTGGCTGAGTAGACCGGGGGGCTGCATAGACCACTCAAGATCCTTAGCTGAGCATCGACGACGCTCACCCCACGGCTAGTGACAGAGTCGGGAATCGAACCTGGTACCTCAAGCAATGTCAGGCAGATTAACCAACTGAGCCACTAAGTCGTTAAGCCTATAATATATTCATTTTCCAATTTTCACTATGCCTTGGATTTATTTACAGCGAGTTGAAATGCGAGAACTTTTTTATAAATTTCTAGAATATAAAATGCATGCATCTTTAGCTGATCGGTAGTATATACATATTATATTTTATTTTATTTTTGATTGATGGTTAATTTTCAATTAATTTGATTGGAAATCACCTAACATAAAGCATATTCTCAACTTCTGTCCATGACTTCACGTTTGACTTGATCAAACTTCTAATAATGTCACCAACATTAGGTTGGTTCGTAATTCTTAAATTCAAAATATATCAAAATAATTGTTAATCAAGGATTATTTGTCGTTCTAAAGGCTCAATAACCACCAAACAAATTTCAAGTTTCAACTCTACCGGGAACCATGATCACATGCCACGCCAATATTTTTTACCCATTTTTAACAGGTAAATAAATGGATGGATCAATTGCATATGGTAGTTTAATAATACAAATAGCTCACTGAATGAATTCAGTACGTTAGTAATAGTATAAGTAATTGAGGGACCACATGCAAAACTGGTATATCTGTTTTTGATAGTTTTGAGATAAATGCATTTTACTGATTTAAAGATTCTATATCATGTGTAAAAAACACTTCTAAAAAATGGTATATCTGTCTATATACCATTTTTAAAACTAGAATTGTACCAAAACTGGTACTATATCTCACGATATACCATTTTTTCTATACTATAAACAATAAAATAATTTAACTGAGAATGGTATATCTGAAGATATACCATTTGGGCTGGCTAAAGTCTATAAAATGTGTATAGATATACCGGTTTTATAGAAGATATGTTTCTTGAAGGTGGTCTATCTGCAGATATACCATTTTGTTTTCATGATTGTTAAAAGCTAAAATGGTATATTGTAACATATACCAGTTTTGGAAAAATAAAATTTCACTTTTTTTCAAAAATTTCTTCAAAATTGTTCAAAAAAAGTTCCAAAGATGCACCTTTTCACCCTGAAGACTATGAGCTACCTGTGCAAAATTGGTATATGTTCAGATATACCAGTTTTGCATGTGGTCCCTCAATTTTAGTGTTTGTTAGTGATAGTATAATCAATTTGAGTAATTTAAGTAAAGGTTCAAACCATGGCAAGTTGGTAGGGCTGCAGGCACAGTTTGTGATCCAGCTATACATCTGACGATGTTGTCGTAATTCTTTCTGTAACCTCGCTTACAAACAATCTCTATTGCTTCTCCTGGGAGATTCAAGAGATTAACTCATACGGTTCTTTTGCGATAGTCTAAACGCGCTAACTAGCGTTACCTATCGACAGCTAGCGCTATGTGGCGCTATGTGGCGCTAGTAAGCACAACGTGATAATTAGCGCTGTAAGTGCTAGTGGGTGTTAGTTAGCGTTAGATTGTGCTAGCTATTGATATGTAATGTTAGTTAGCGGTAACACGAGTAAGTCTTTCTGTTTTCTTCATTCTTCCAGTAAAATCTGTTTTATAACTCTCCCACAAATGACAACCGGACGCAAAATTTTCATACATAATTTCGATAATCGAAAACATAGTCAATCCTGTGTAATCATGTGTAAATCCTGTGTAATCCTGTGTAAATCCTGTGTAGTCAAAGAGATGGTCCGCAGATTGGGTGTTGACTGTTAAGATGCCTACTTCTAAACTTCTCAATAGGTTCACTAGGTTTAGGCTAATTATGTTTTGAATTAGGGCACTGTAAATCCATCCGCAATGTATTATCCGAGCCGGGGTGCCAGTGCTTTATTGTAACCTTTTATTCGAGATCTCTACCGATGTTTAATTCAGCCAATAAGATTCCATAGAGACTTGCATTTTTTCTCCGTGTAGTTTTAGTTTTACGGAAAATAACGCAGTTTCTGTATGCGCTTACAATTTTTGAACACGTCAACTTTAACCTAATAGTTGATACTATTATTTATCAAATGTTTCTGTATGATCTGAGATTTGAAGCATCTTCAGATCCGTTATAATTCTGAAGCTTTTTTCCCTTTAAACAGTACGTTTCCTTTGAATAGTACGTTCACAATATTGATTGATGATAAATATTGAAAACTAAGAAATTTTCTATAGAATTCAACTTTGAAGTCAGCCTTTTCGAATGGCCTCTTCAGCAAACATGGTACTTGGATTTATGCTCTTATTAGCTTCAGCATCAAGTACTAACAACTCGCCCAGAAATAACATCATAGTAAGTTAGATATTAAACTTATTATGGTTTCTTTACAAGTAGTTCCAAATATAAAAGCGATAATTTCTTCGTTAAATAGGGGGGGGGGGGGGGGGGGGCAACGCCCCAAAAGGCCCCAAAAAGCCCCCATTTCTAGGGCCCCTTTTTGGATTTTCGATATGTGTAGGGCCTTTTGGCGCCCTAGAATTAACTTCAATTTCATCAAGTTTGATATATGCTAAGTGCTTTAATGATATTAGGGTCAGGGTCAAAAGGCCCCAAAAGGCCCCAAAAGGCCCCGATTTCTAGGGCCTTTTTGGATTTTCGATATGTGTGGGGCCTTTTGGGGCGTTGGCCCCCCCCCCCCCCCCCCCCCCCCCCTAAATAGCTAATATCTCGTAATCTTGTCACTACCTTGGTCACTAACAAGTTCTTCAAATCTAACCATGTACTGTGCCTAAAACCTTGTTCCTCCTCGTCAAATTTCAGGACGAAGACAATGCGGCTGACCTCAAGGATTTACTCCACTCATCGATGCAGAGCATAATCTTACTGAACGACCTCGTTACCAAGCTCACGGAAAAAGTTGTTGATCTGACCATCTCATTTGCCGATACCAAAGCTGATATGCGAAACCTGAAGACCACAGTTGAGGAAGAGAGGGCGAACCTGAAGACCACAGTTGAGGAAGAGAGGGCGAACCTGAAGACCACAGTTGAGGAAAAAATGACGGACCTGAAGACTACAGTCGAGGAAGATATGGCGAACCTAAAGACCACAGTTGATAGTGAAATGGCGAACCTGAACACCACAGTTGAGGAAGAGATGGCGGACCTAAAGACCACAGTTGAGAAAGATATGGCGGACCTGAAGACTACAGTCGAGGAAGATAGGGCAGACCTAAAAGCTACCCCTAGGGAGGTGATGATAGTGAGTGAGGAGGAAGAAGCAGGTGAGGCTAGATGTGCTAGAGTATGTGCTGGAACCACTGGTCGAGGCACCACCAGTTGGATTGAATATTCTTCTACCGGTATCCAGTTGAGTGTGGACATTAGCGACTGCGGGTTTGTCAAGGTACCAACTGTCACTACCTCGGTTGAGGGAAAAGGTTATCATTGGAAAGCTACCGGTCTTGCTGCAGTCTACCACACAACCACAACATCTTTTAATATGAATGTAGATGGACCAGTATCAGGGTACGATCCTCAGGATGGAAACGCTGAGTCCTGGGGTTGGAATGTAGAATGGATATCTGTTGGATACATCTGCTAATTCAAACTGATAAGAACCAAACCCTAGACCTCTTCTGGTGGGATTGTTTGATTATTGACTTGGCGAATATTCTGATAAAAAGGGTTTTTGATCGTGTTTCTTTCTTGCATGATATAATCTAAAAGGTCATGACCTATCTTCTTTTACATCTAATACTATAACTATTGCTGGATAAAAGTAATTACTGGCCAAGTCGTCACGTTTAATTACTTGCAATCGCCTTCATCGTTTTAAGAGTATCATGTTTTTATTTTACGGTTGATAATTTGTTGATATTTTAGCTAGGAGAAAGCACAACGAACTTTTAGCGCCGATTCAAAGCTTTTAAAGTGAATTCTACTGGAAGTTTATTCATACGAATAAGTTTAACTGGCGATGGTTCCAGCGCTAATCAATTAAATTCTGTTAGTCATCTAGTTAAAGTGGTTTTATTGTGTTATCCGTTATTATACAAGTTTGAAGATTTGCAATCCGATAACTCGTTCAGAAAAATTGAAGTGAAGAGAAAATTTAGAGAGTGGTAAGTGGTAGTACCAGTGGTCAAAAGAGGTGAAGGATAGGTTGAAAACTATATCCTGAATAGAAGAGACGGATAATATCTGCATCTACCTGGCTTATAACTTCTAATGTGTAGATTTGTGGAGTTCTCGACAGCCCCAACTGCACAGTTACTGGCTGAAAACAAAACGAAAAATTACATACATGGAACTGCAACTGGAATCTTACCTTCAAAATTTGTAAATTTATTTCTGAACTTGGGTCCACTAAATTAGGAAAGCACAAAATTTCCAAAAAAATTTGATGTAAACTCACGTAAACACCGCGGTAGTTGCTGAAAGAACGTGTTCTCAGTAACACATGTGACGTGGTAAGAGTGGGAGGGGTAATAGTCTCGGTCACATGACACCCTAACCCTCTCTCCTGGTTCCACGCTAGTTCCTGGTGTTACCGTTCCGTGGTCCACGTGCTGACCAGCACATGGCTGGGCTGGATAATTATAATTTCAATAAAATATAACTTTTGTTTCTGAATTTCCAACTAATTTCATCCTGCCGCCAAAAATAGAACGACATCAACCCAAACATAACTTAAAACAAGAAACTCACGCGAACAAGACACTCACGTGAACAAGACACTCACGCGAACAAGACACTCACGCGAATAAGACACTCACGTGAACAAGACACTCACGCGAACAAGACACTCACGCGAATAAGACACTCACGCGAACAAGACACTCACGCGAACAAGACACTCACGTGAACAAGACACTTACGCGAACAAGACACTCACGCGAACAAGACGCTCACGTGAACAAGACACTCACGCGAACAAGACACTCACGCGAACAAGACACTCACGCGAACAAGACACTCACGCGAACAAGACGCTCACGTGAACAAGACACTCACGCGAACAAGACACTCACGCGAACACGACACTCACGCGAACAAGACACTCACGCGAACAAGACACTCACGTGAACAAGACACTCACGCGAACAAGGCACTCACGTGAACAAGACACTCACGTGAACAAGACACTCACGCGAACAAGACACTCACGCGAACACGACACTCACGCGAACAAGACACTCACGCGAACAAGACACTCACGCGAACAAAACACTCACGCGAACAAGACACTCACGCGAACAAGACACTCACGCGAACAAGACGCTCACGTGAACAAGACACTCACGCGAACAAGACACTCACGCGAACAAGACACTCACGCGAACAAGACACTCACGCGAACAGGTGGGAGTATCGCCGGACCTGGCCCTGCCAGCCAAACAGATCATCAACCTGCCCACCAGCTGGTATCCCTCATCACACCGGACCTGCATCTTCCGTTCCGGACCAGCGGACACTACCTCTCCGTGTGTTATTGTAAACCCTGTGCAGTTCCGCGCTGAAAGAATATTTGGTGATTACGTGTTGGTACTTGGTGATCACGTGTTGGTATGCACTGATCACGTGTTGGTATGCACTGATCACCTGTTGGTATGCACTAATCACGTGTTGGTATGCACTGATCACGTGTTGGTATGCACTGATCACGTGTCGGTATGCACTGATCACGTGTTGGTATGCACTGATCACGTGTTGGTATGCACTGATCACGTGTTGGTATGCACTGATCACGTGTCGGTATGCACTGATCACGTGTTGGTATGCACTGATCACGTGTCGGTATGCACTGATCACGTGTTGGTATGCACTGATCACGTGTCGGTATGCACTGATCACGTGTTGGTATGCACTGATCACGCGTCGGTATGCACTGATCACGTGTTGGTATGTTCTGATCACGTGTTGGTATGCACTGATCACGTGTTGGTACGCACTAACATGGATGTGTGGCGAACAGTAAACACGTCAGTTCCACGCTAACTGTTTTGGCACTTGCTTCCAGTTCGTTTAACTAATTAACTCGTGATCGTGATTATATTATATGTATTTTTTGAAAATGCTAAGATTTTGAATCAAAATTCTTCGTTACATTTTTGGTGTCGATAACTAGTTTGAATTTAATTAACTCAACTTCCGGGTATGAATATGAATATGTAGCATGTCGTAAGTCGTTATGAAATCTACTTACTTTAATTGTAACATTGTCAACAGTGAGTGTATTTAGTCTAATTTTATATAAGGGTACACAAATTCAGTTTGACAATACAAGAGCATTTTAACCACCACTGAAAGCACTCTAACAACGGTTAACTTGGGGGTAAATGACAATTTAGTGCAGGGATGACTGGACAGCGCACAGCCTCTTCATTCAGTGTGTTATATAAATACTAAGCCTGGGGTCCCCAGGTAAGTCCAGGGGGTGTAAATTTGAGCTCGAACAATGGCTCTAAAATTATCAGCTTAGATGCTTTGTTTGGCGATATTCCGTTAGACTTCGAAGTTCACGTTCCGTTTCGTTGCTTTTATCAGGTCGCTAGGTGTGTCTTCATATGTTCGTTTAAAGGTTTTGATATTACCAACCTTAAGGAACTGATTGTTAGAAATAGGGTAACACGAAACATAACGATATAATTTTTTATTTACCTCAGTACAGACAATATATATAAATTAATATTTAAATAAATTCAATCGGCGAAAATTACTCCTAGTAAAATTTCGCTTTAATTTGGTTGAAAAAGACCATAAAGTTCATCATTTTCAGGCATGACATTAGAAAACATACTATCACAAGTATGGTGTCACTTATCTTTCATCTTTGGTGTTCTTGGTAACAGTCTTGTGATCTACTCCACAGTCAAACACAAAGCAATCAAATTAGACAAACTTTCCGTGTGGATCATACAAAACTTGGCAGTCTCAGATCTGATCAATTCGATTCTAGTCTTGGTTCCAGTTATCGTATCTCTTCACGCCAACGATCAGTGGATCCTGGGTGATACCTTCTGCACTACATCGATGTTTTACAACAACTGCAGTATTGTCGCCAGTGCGATCTTGATAAATGCTCTCAGCTTGAATAAGATGTTGAGATGTTTGTTTCCACTGCGCTTCATGAACACTTCCAAAACTCAACAAAGGTTGGTTACCATAGTGACAGCTGTCTCAGTTATGATCATTCCAGCTTTCCAATTCTTCAAGTACACTATCAAACATGAGTTTATCGTGCAATTTTCGCCTTCCAGATGCCAATGTGTGTCATTCAAAAAGTCGTTCAACATCACCGGCGCTCCTATTTCAGCATTACTTCTGGTGAGTATAATCCAACTACTGCCCTGTCTAAGTATGTGTACCTTAAACACGATTCTTGTAACCTACGCGCTGAAGAAATCCAACAGATCTGTTAATATTTGGAATTTTCTGATTGTTGTCATGGTAACGGCTTCCTTCCTACTCTCGATGCTGCCTTATTTTGTGTTTATTTTGGTTAACTATGATGTCGATCGGTCAGCCATCATAGTTGATCGGTACAGAGAGCTAAAGATGCGAGTCATCGTTTTCATCACTTTCCTACAACTGTGGTCCAACCCAATAATCTATTTGGTAACCAACCAAAACTTTAAGAATTACATGATGCAACTAGTGGCTAAACAATTGTGTCCTGATATAATACGCCAACACTCAAGGACTCAAGGTTAAACCTGAAGCAACCCAATCTCCTGCTCATTGAAGAAAAATAACATAAGCAAAATAGTTCCAATTAAAATTAATTGGTAGCTTGTATTCAATATATATGTATTTCTCGCAGAGGTCTTAGACTAATGGGGCGAAACAAATTAAGTCAAACATTCCAGGAAAATTATGTTTAAAATGCGAGTTTTCTTGTCCTTTAGTACTTTACTACACAAATTACTGTAGACTGTAGTGATTAGTGTGATATTAACAAACTTGCTAATATCGAATTTCTAGTATCATCCCAACTTCGTTTAAGTCCATAAACCACCATAGGTCACTGAAATCGCATAAAAACGCACGACTATAACACTGAATAAACTCCACACTTACGTTTACACGTGGGCTTGGTCGAGGTCCTTTCCCCTGCTGTGCACGTGACTCTAGCAGAACCAATCAACTCAAAGTTCACATCACATGACACCAAGACACTTTGACCCGGCTGTATCGTACCTCCAGAGTGCCGGACTGTCCCATTCTGTATCTCAAACTCCGGGCATGGTAGAGCTGAAAATGTTGGTGTCAAAGAGGCTAGGTAAGCATATGTTGTGTTGGAAAGGTTCGAGATATCTGTAAAAAGTGGGTTAACTAATAACTTGATCTTTTCTATCGAGTAAAATTTTGCTTTTGAATATGCCGCGCATTGTTTTCCACATTTATCACGCGCGTTACAAATTATATTTATTTCGTATGGAGTGTGCGCCTGACTAACCCAGTAGATGAATCCATAAATTTGGAACATGGGCACATCGCAGTATTGGCCGTATTTGAGTGCTGGGAAGGCTCAGTTCGGTTTTCTAAAATGGATATAGCCGTAAGCTAGGCCTAGGAGCCATCAAAAGTCGTATAAAATTACCCATGGAATGACCAGAAATGAACGAAAATGAACATTCTTCTCAAAGTGCTCAGAATGGTTTAAAATGGGTCGGAAAGTGTTTACATTGGTCCTAGGACCACTCAAACCAAGTTTGGGAATCACTGCATGTCTAGAACCGATGTTACCAATGTTCCAAAATGTTCCAATTTTGGCACAATAATCCTCCTGAGAATCCAGATTTTTGGAACATGGGCACATCGAAGTATTGGCTGTATTTAAGTGCTGGGAAGCCTCAATTCGGTTTTCTAAGATGGATATAGGTAAAAACTAGGCCTAAGAGCCATCAAAACTCAAATAACATTACCCAGGTTCATGGAATGAACGAAAATGAACAAAAATGAATATTGTCCTAAAAATGCTCAGAGCGGTTTAAAATTGGTCGGAAAGTGTTTATATTAGTCCTAGGACCACTCAAACCAAGTTTGGGAATCACTGCATGTCTAGAACCGATGTTACCTATGTTCCAAAATGTTCCAATTTTGGCACAATAATCCTCCTGAGAATCCAGATTTTTGGAACATGGGCACATCGAAGTATTGGCTGTATTTAAGTGCTGGGAAGCCTCAATTCGGTTTTCTAAGATGGATATAGGTAAAAACTAGGCCTAAGAGCCATCAAAACTCAAATAACATTACCCAGGTTCGTGGAATGAACGAAAATGAACAAAAATGAATATTGTCCTAAAAATGCTCAGACAGAACGGTTTAAAATTGGTCGGAAAGTGTTTATATTAGTCCTAGGACCACTCAAACCAAGTTTGGGAATCACTGCATGTCTAGAACCGATGTTACCAATGTTCCAAAATGTTCCAATTTTGTCACAATAATCCTCCTGAGAATCCAGATTTTTGGAACATGGGCACATCGAAGTATTGGCTGTATTTAAGTGCTGGGAAGCCTCAATTCGGTTTTCTAAGATGGATATAGGTAAAAAATAGGCCTAAGAGCCATCAAAACTCAAATAACATTACCCAGGTTCATGGAATGAACGAAAATGAAACAAAAATGAAAATTTTCCTTAAAGCGCTCAGAATGGTAAGAAAATGGTGGCAAAGAGTCAATATTTTCGTCCAACAGAGTCTTAAAGTTGCATTCAGAATTATGTACAATTAGCACACGTACCTCCAAGAGAAGGCAGAAATTATTTTATTGAGCAACTATTTTGGTTTTAATAGTCCCCCAATATATTGATGTATTTGTTCGTTGAGGGATGAAGGTTGCGGGTGAAAGGGTTGGTTGAGCGAGGTAGGTTGCTGGTGAAGGGGTTGGTTGCGTTAGGTAGGCTGGTGGTGAATAAGTTGGTTGAGGGATGAAGATTGCTGGTGAAGGGGTTGGTTGAGTGAGGTGGACTGCTGGTGCTTCTTTGAACTGGTAGATAAAGAGGTAGGCTCATCAATTTAGTGAAGGGATTCATTGTCGTTGTAGTTGTTGTGGTTAACAGAGAGGGAAAATGATTTGTATAACTTAATTATCTATTTATTCTCTTCTTATTCATTAACAAGCTTGCTAAGTTAATCCTATTGCTGATGACCTGATCTGATCTTACGCCTCTACATCCGATCACACCAAATAAGATCGGATAACCTTGCTACGCTCGGATCACCTTATTCAGATCACATCTTTATTTGCTTCCACACATCTATTACACGAAGTGATGTGATACAAATGAAACTGATGTGATCTAAATATAGGGTGTACATTGTGTGACTGTCTGACTGTTTATGGAATCACTGCATGCCCAGAACCGATACGAGGGGTGCAGAATACCGAACCATCTTAACAGTACAGTAAATGAATAGTCTGTTGATTGGCCTTATGACTCTTTCGTAAACTCTTTGGAATTGCTCAGAGCGGTTTAAAATTGGTCGGAAAGTGTTTGTATTGGTCCTAAGACCACTCGAATTGGAACATTTTGGAACATTGGTAACATCGGTTCTAGACATGCAGTGATTCCCAAACTTGGTTTGAGTGGTCCTAGGACTAATATAAACACTTTCCGACCAATTTTAAACCGTTCTGAGCATTTTTAGGACAATATTCATTTTTGTTCATTTTCGTTCATTCCATGAACCTGGGTAATGTTGTTTGAGTTTTGATGGCTCTTAGGCCTAGTTTTTACCTATATCCATCTTAGAAAACCGAATTGAGGCTTCCCAGCACTTAAATACAGCCAATACTTCGATGTGCCCATGTTCCAAAAATCTGGATTCTCAGGAGGATTATTGTGACAAAATTGGAACATTTTGGAACATTGGTAACATCGGTTCTAGACATGCAGTGATTCCCAAACTTGGTTTGAGTGGTCCTAGGACTAATATAAACACTTTCCGACCAATTTTAAACCGTTCTGTCTGAGCATTTTTAGGACAATATTCATTTTTGTTCATTTTCGTTCATTCCATGAACCTGGGTAATGTTATTTGAGTTTTGATGGCTCTTAGGCCTAGTTTTTACCTATATCCATCTTAGAAAACCGAATTGAGGCTTCCCAGCACTTAAATACAGCCAATACTTCGATGTGCCCATGTTCCAAAAATCTGGATTCTCAGGAGGATTATTGTGCCAAAATTGGAACATTTTGGAACATTGGTAACATCGGTTCTAGACATGCAGTGATTCCCAAACTTGGTTTGAGTGGTCCTAGGACTAATATAAACACTTTCCGACCAATTTTAAACCGTTCTGAGCATTTTTAGGACAATATTCATTTTTGTTCATTTTCGTTCATTCCATGAACCTGGGTAATGTTATTTGAGTTTTGATGGCTCTTAGGCCTAGTTTTTACCTATATCCATCTTAGAAAACCGAATTGAGGCTTCCCAGCACTTAAATACAGCCAATACTTCGATGTGCCCATGTTCCAAAAATCTGGATTCTCAGGAGGATTATTGTGCCAAAATTGGAACATTTTGGAACATTGGTAACATCGGTTCTAGACATGCAGTGATTCCCAAACTTGGTTTGAGTGGTCCTAGGACTAATATAAACACTTTCCGACCAATTTTAAACCGTTCTGAGCATTTTTAGGACAATATTCATTTTTGTTCATTTTCGTTCATTCCATGAACCTGGGTAATGTTATTTGAGTTTTGATGGCTCTTAGGCCTAGTTTTTACCTATATCCATCTTAGAAAACCGAATTGAGGCTTCCCAGCACTTAAATACAGCCAATACTTCGATGTGCCCATGTTCCAAAAATCTGGATTCTCAGGAGGATTATTGTGACAAAATTGGAACATTTTGGAACATAGGTAACATCGGTTCTAGACATGCAGTGATTCCCAAACTTGGTTTGAGTGATCCTAGGAACAATATAAACACTTTCCGACCAATTTTAAACCGTTCTGAGCATTTTTAGGACAATATTCATTTTTGTTCATTTTCGTTCATTCCATGAACCTGGGTAATGTTGTTTGAGTTTTGATGGCTCTTAGGCCTAGTTTTTACCTATATCCATCTTAGAAAACCGAATTGAGGCTTCCCAGCACTTAAATACAGCCAATACTTCGATGTGCCCATGTTCCAAAAATCTGGATTCTCAGGAGGATTATTGTGCCAAAATTGGAACATTTTGGAACATTGGTAACATCGGTTCTAGACATGCAGTGATTCCCAAACTTGGTTTGAGTGGTCCTAGGACTAATATAAACACTTTCCGACCAATTTTAAACCGTTCTGAGCATTTTTAGGACAATATTCATTTTTGTTCATTTTCGTTCATTCCATGAACCTGGGTAATGTTATTTGAGTTTTGATGGCTCTTAGGCCTAGTTTTTACCTATATCCATCTTAGAAAACCGAATTGAGGCTTCCCAGCACTTAAATACAGCCAATACTTCGATGTGCCCATGTTCCAAAAATCTGGATTCTCAGGAGGATTATTGTGACAAAATTGGAACATTTTGGAACATAGGTAACATCGGTTCTAGACATGCAGTGATTCCCAAACTTGGTTTGAGTGGTCCTAGGAACAATATAAACACTTTCCGACCAATTTTAAACCGTTCTGAGCATTTTTAGGACAATATTCATTTTTGTTCATTTTCGTTCATTCCATGAACCTGGGTAATGTTATGCTACTTTCGATGGCCCTTAGACCTAGCTTGCAACTATATCCATCATTTACAATTATTTTTGGCACTATTTAGAGCTTATTAGGGCAAATAAATGCATGGCACACTTTTGGCACAATTTTGGCACATGTTCCAAAAATGTTCCAAAAATCTGGATTCATCAACTCGACTAACTTGAAGTAATGCCCAATTTCTGAGTGGCGTGCCAAACTTTTTGGCACAGTTTACGAACTACTACACCAATATATTTAAAACAATAAGATATTCGAACAAGTTTAGAAATGAACAGGAGACTCACGTAAACACTCGGGAAGGGGTGGGACGAAGGTTCTTTTACTGAAACACTTAGGAGTGATCTGGTGAGAAAGCTTGTATCCAGCATTGCACTGTATCGTTAACGTTCTGTTCGGACTCAAAGGAAACTCTGACGTTACCATACCGTTCACAATATTTGGCTTCTCGTTGCAATTAACAGCTGAAATACAGTTTTGTGCTAATATCTATATTTAGAGTTTGTGGTCGGTACCTAGAGATTGTTTCCACGTATATCCACTAGGAACAATGTCGGATACCCCACGACCACTTCTAAATTTTACCCTAGAAAAATCCCCCTTACAAGTAGTCCCGTACATTATATAGCAGGTAACCAGGAAGCTGGCTTGCTTGCAGTACAATTAATTGTTGTGGGGGCCACAACTAATAAGGAACGTGGTGTAATGTGCGTCCCAACTACTGACACCAGGTCAGCTTGGATCTCAATCTTTAAATACTTTTACTGTACATTTTAACATGTGATCTGTGGTTTGGGCACGATTTTTATAGACATTGATTTTTAGTACAGTCAAATCCGTCTTTTTGTCGGACAAAATTCGCAACAAAGCGATTTTAACGGGATATGGTCGGGACAGGTTCCAGGAATCATTCCAGAAAAGTCCCAAAAAATCTGACTTGAGCAAAATCCACAATTACCACTTTTTTACCACCTTTTTACCACTTTGGTTTTCCGCAAACAAGTCACGTTCTGAATATCCTAGAAGATTCTAGTTTAAAGCAGTGTGTTAAGGAAACAAAGGAGAACAACTTTTTCTTTAACAACTTTTTCAAAAATAAATTATTTAATTAATTAATTAAATAATTAATAAATTTTCAAATATTTAAAAAATATATTTTCATAAAAAATGTTCACAATTAAATTACACGTACAATGAACTAATTTTCATAAAACTTTTGAAAATTTTCACTTTCAATATTTTGGACTTGTAAAATTTTCGAAATTTGTAAAGAATAACCACTTTTTACCACATTGGATCTCCGCTAATAAAACGACTTCTGAATGTCGTAGAAGGTTGTAGATTGAACCGATGTGTTAATAACATAAGAGAGAACAACTTTTATTCGCCAACCTTTGGATTAGATAATTAATTAATCAGTTAATCAATTATTTAACAAATATTCAAAAATTATAAAAATTATTTTCGATCAAAATATTTTAAAATTGCATAACACGAATAATTAACAATTTTTCATCAAATTGATTGGAAAATCGAAGCAGCACTTTATATAACCAATATATACTAGATACTTATGAGTCCTCAGCTGGCACATTGGTGCAATTGTCCTGACATTTGAGGCAGGTTGATCCACAATGTATTCCTGCTTTTCTGCATGAACAAGCATTGCCACAACCTGACTTTAAACAGTTGCAACTGATGTTTTGAATGAACGTGGTCGTTAAATACCATTTAGAAATCAAAATATCCTCCAAGTTTAGGGGGAGTGGGGGTGCCGTGAGTTAATACACATACGTTGAGTCTTGTAATCAACATAATCGTGTTTGCGAACATGCTGTTAACTGCACATTGCAATAGGCCATTACATTCGGAATATGATCTGAATTCTGAAAAGATATTGGCGCGAAACAGACTGAAAATGACGAAGTCATCAAGTAATTCGTTTATCTCGTTAGCGAAATTGATTGGGTAATCAATGATTACCTAATCGCTAATCATGCGACAGGGTGCTACGATACCGTAATTGGGCTTTGTGCACGATCCCTATAGTGGGAATCTAGTGCACTAAGCTACGGAGAAACAATACCCTAGCGTATGCACTCCTACTAAAGGCCCTTTATTATTACTTACTTACTTGGGTTGGGTTCCGAGCTAGAGTGCTACCAGGCCAAGAATGTCTTGCATATCCACCGCCAAGTAGTAGCGCGTCAGAGGCACGTGCCACCGGCCCACTCCAGCATTGAGTTCTTGTTCTGTCCAGTGTACCCAGGTGTTGAATGGTGGAGTGTCAGGGAATTCATTGAGGAAAGCATCAAGAGCAGGTTTGAAAGCGGTCAAGGTTAGGAGGGACTTGATGCTAGGAGGGACCACGTTGTACAGTACAGACTACAGAGGCTCTAGAGGCAAAGGAGTTGAACCTCAGGTTATTGACACTAGTGTACTTGGAGGACCCTAGTGGTCGTATACACGTAGTTCCGTATCGTGAGGTCTCGCGGAAGTTGATGTTCATACTGTTTGGAGTAAGATTGTTATAGATCTTCCAAACTAGGATGATAGTGTATCTCTCACGACGCCTTTGAAGGGAGTACATAGACAGGCGACGGAGGTGTTCCCAGTAGTTGAGATTTCCAAGACCCTGGATTTTAGCAGTGAAGGATCGTTGAACTGCTTCGAGTTTAATAATTTCGCACTGCATGTGAGGAGACCACAGAGGACAGCAGTATTCCAGATGAGATCGTACGTAGGATTTGTACAGGAGCATCATGCTCGCTACATCTTACGAATAAGTTCTCTTCTGGGCTTGGGAATGGAGGATTGTGATGACACTTGGATGTTTCTGCTGTGCGAGGGAGCGTGCTTAGAGCATATGAACGCTACCTTGTCTTCAAACAATGTCCAAGCTGTATCCTGATCGTTGCTTGGGTCAGTGATAGAAGCCCAGTCTACTTCTACCAGTTCTGCATTAATGGCATCCCAGTATGCTGAGTTGAAGTTAATGTCATCAAGGAGGCAGGAGGGGGTGAAGACTGGCCGTTCCGGAGTCTGCGAGGGGAGGAGGAGTTCAGGATTGAGGAGAGTGCAGCTCACAATGTCATGATCTGATAACTCTGTCTTGGTAACAGAGATACTATGGATCGAGTCAGAGTCGTTTGAGAAAACGAGATCTAAGATGTTGTTCTTGCGAGTTGGCTCGAGGACTTCTTGTTGGAGCAGGCATTCTTCATTGAAGTTCAGAAGTGCTAGGGCTGATTGTCGGTCTGAAAGGGAAATACTGCATCCTGAGTCGATAGAAGAATTCGTCCAGTTGATAAAGGGTAGGTTGAAGTCTCCTGTAATGTGCAGTACAGGGGTGCGTTGAATTCCGTTGATGAACTGTTGGAGGGTAGAGAGGCATTCATCAAACTTGTCAAAAGGAGCTGAAGGGGGCCGGTAAATGCCCGCTATCACGATGTTAGCTTCTTTACTGTAGATGGCGACAAGTTCACAGTAGGAGTTTGAGAAGGACTTTGTTTCTTCTTCTGTGATGGAGTTGTGGAGATAGGTAGCGGCTCCGCCACAAGCTCGACTGGTACGCTCCGCTCGGTAGCCGGTATAACCTGGGATGTGAACCTCCGCATCTAAGTGATACGACTTGAGGTGGGTTTCCGTCAAGGTGAAGAAAGGGGTGTGGATCGGGTTGGAGCTGATAGACTTTCCATCGCTGGTTGGTGATGCCAGGATTCATTCCTTAAATTAAATATTGAAGCTTACGCTTCCAAACGAACCAGTTTAACAATCTAGTTTAAAAGCACAACACTAAGTCGAGAGATGATGTGTAAATAGTTATTATCTATAATATAATAGTATCGTACAAATTTGGATATTTTACCGTTTATTCCATTTATCTGCATCTCTTTTTATCTGTTATCTAATCTATGTGACGGTGTTTGTTCTATTATTCAAGTAAATTCATTTTACGTTTTACGTCACGGCAAAGATTTTTGGTAAAAAAATTATATTTTTGAAATTTTTAAAAATTTACTTATCATCTAATTAATTAATCGATTAATTATCTAATCCAAAGGTTGGCGAATAAAAGTTGTTCTCTTTTATATTTTGAACACATCGGTTCAATCTAGAACCTTCTACGACATTCAGAAGTCGTTTTATTAGCGGAGATCCTATGTGGTAAAAAGTGGTAAATAGTGGTTTAGTTATTCTTTACGAATTTTACAAGTCCAAAATATTGAAAGTGAAAATTTTCAAATTTTTTATAAGAATTAGTTCAATATACGTGGAATTTAATTGTGAACATTTTTTATGAAAATATATTTTTTAAATATTTGAAAATTTATTAATTATTTAATTAATTAATTAAATAATTTATTTTTGAAAAAGTTGTTAAAGAAAAAGTTGTTCTCCTTTGTTTCCTAAACACACTGCTTTAAACTAGAATCTTCTAAGATATTCAGAACGTGACTTATTTGCGGAAAACCAAAGTGGTAAAAAGGTGGTAAAAAAGTGGTAATTGTGGATTTTGCTCAAGTCAGATTTTTTGGGACTTTTCTGGAATGATTCCTGGGACCTGTCCCGACCATATCCCGTTAAAATCGCTTTGTTGCGAATTTTGTCCGACAAAGGCTCAAATAAGGACGGATTTGACTGTACTATTTGGTGAAATATAGGAACTTTTTTCTTGGGGTTTATTTCAGTTATATCGACACTTCATGTACTACAAATTGAATACAAATACTGGAACAAAGAAGATAAAGTACATTACTTAACAACACAGTGAGACCACACCTGAAGCCGATCAAGTTACTTTTCAAAGGTTCATAAATCTGTGTGACAGTCAAACAGAGTTATATATAGGCCTATATAAGCCATTTATTTCAGTAGCAAACGCCCATAGTTGAATCTGTCTGTGATCTCACTTCAAAATCACTTCCAGTGGTTGAGAAGTCAGATTTTCCCGCCAGTGGTTAAGTGGTTGCTATGCGTGCAAAAAATTATCACGTGACTGGCGTTTCGCGCAGCAAAATAGACGCCTCCGCAGAGATGGCGCAGTATATATTAAGAAGGAGTCGACTTCTGTCCTCACCGTTGCAATGTTTCGCCACCTCATATTATATCCAAACCCTATTTCTTATCCCCTACGATCTTTCGAATAGTTATTGTTAGAAGTCCTCTGACTCCTTTTATAGCACCTTCGCCACATAATTACCATTCCAACCGTAAAGAAATGAATTTTCAGAAGTGTTGCCATATTTTAAACGTTTCAAGCTGGGGGATTTTGTGTGAGTGATACTGAACAGGATCGTTAACAGAGTCAATTTGGACTAAATTTTACGATCAATACAGTGTTCTTAACGAACGAAATCTTGGAACATTGAGGAATGATCGTTTTGCTGCAGAATTTTGTCAGGGGGCAAAGCCACCCGGATTTATTTTGAAACCCATACACAATATACATGGCAATTTAAAG